GTTCATTGAATATTTTTTAATTTTCTTTGTTTATAAATACACCGTATGGCGAATATTATCTGATGTAGCTAAAAAAACAAAGCAAAGTAGATTGAAGGTCAGCTGAAGTTTCTACTTACATCCATTTCGTTTTTGCACGAAAGGTAAAAATGAATTCAATGGAATGGCGTGTTCTACCGAATATTTATATCCATAAAAATCAATAAGTAAGATATCCAAGCCTCGTTTTTGTTGACTCTCTTCGATGAGTGCTTTGATTTCACTCACTGATGTGTATTTCACATCTTGGCCGTTGATTTCAAGAACGATATCACCTGGTTTGACGCCATGACAATAGGCGGATGAGCCCGGTTCGACTTGGCTGATGTATAGCAAGTTTTCACGACGAAACGAAAGTCCAAACATATATTCATCAGGCTGAAAGTCTAATCTGAATAAACGCGGTTGCATTGATTTGACGTTTCGCGATTGATAATCGAATTCCTCGTCTCTTAATTCTCCACCAATTCGTTTTAAGACTTGAAACGCTGGGCCAGTCAGAACTAAGAGTTCTACTTCGCCTGCTTCGGCAAAGTCCCGGCTAATACGATCAATCACGTCATCAACAGATGGGAACGTTTGAACATTTCTTGACTGAACCGCAACAATATGATCACCCTCTGTTAGACCACTGGAAACAAAGCAAAAGTATGAGGTGTTTATCAAGAATACAGTTTTCCATACCTTATTTTAGCTGGACTATTGGGATATACTTTGGAGACGATTGGTGTTTTATAACCTTCTTTTTGGAGAACTTCAAAGCCACATTTCTTGTTTGATGATGGATGACGAAGAAGTAAACATTTGCCTACATGAACAAGTGATTAATTAGGAGACTTCTATGAAATTAAACATAGATTTCTTACGTGGCAGTGGATCGGATGGCTCATGTGATAAATTAATAATATCATCTCTTCTCGCTGATGACAGACCATTGTCGAATTGAGAAGGAATATTACTATAATAACTTTCTTCGCTGGTTTTTGGGGAAAATGTTTGTGAATTTTTCGGTAATTGGTAAACTAGATGAGGTGCAACTAGTAAACTCATCTTGCCTTTTGCCGATGCACTTCTCAGTAACTGAACCACCTCTGGAATAAAAACAGAAACATATTGTGACGATGGCGAACCTTGCTAAACTAAGAGTTCTATAGATTTTTTAATAGTTCGTACCTGAGTTTGGGTTATTTTCGACATTTTCATCATTGACTTCGATAATACAGTCACCATTCTTTAGACCAACAGATTCTAAGTGATCATCATAAAAAACAGTTTCTACTTGTAAAAGATGGCGAACAATATCCTTTACCTGCCAATGAATTCTGTTTCACATTTGCAATAACATGTTTCCCATGCTCGGTATCCAAACGGAATCCCCAGGACTCATGTCGGACGTTAGATAAATTATAATAGCGAAGAACACCTTTTTCAGATATAAGATCAATTGCATTTGCACGTGATGGAGGTCTAGGTGTTGATAGACCTTCGAGATGTGCTGAAGATGTTCCATTGTGATATTGTGATTGTGGGTACCCTTTACCAGACGATGGCAACTGGCCGGCAGCTAAAAATTCAAATGGATTCCTTTCCAGAAAAGTAAACATAGATAGTTTTACTAGTAGTTGTATAGTTGTTTCTTTGATCATTTCCTGATGTCATACCCGAATTAGCATCTGGACTTGTGGTCAAATCAACTTGTTTTCCTGGCAGCTTGGTACTTTTATCGTCGTGATGAGATGGACGGTAGTTGTCTGTATTATCTCTGTGTGGTGGTTCATTGATATGTGTCTGGTATATGGGAGATTGCACACTAGGTATACTTGTAGCTGGTGGTTCTATACTGGTACTACTTCTTCGGCTGCTCTGAGGTGAGGCACGTGTATAATGTCTAACCAAATTGAAAAAACATGTTTTTGATGATTTTGAAAAAGGAATCAAATTATGAAACATACCGGGTCACTTTAGCCTTAGCTGAATTTGGATCAATAGGATAACGATGTGTTTTATACCACCGATAGCCGATTTCATCGATCACTACTAGTTCGATGCTGTTCTTATTTTTATAAATCTCTTTAATATCGTCTCGAAGATCTTCCAATTCGTCATTTTCAACATTTTTTCCGTTTACTTCAATAATATAATCGTAGTTTTCGATATTTGTACGTTCAGCTGGAGAATTCGATTTTAGATGTTTAATTTGAAAACCAGCTGCACCACTGTATGTATTTGATGATTGATCAACTTGAAAACCAAAGTCAGGATATTTTGATGATCGCTAAAACGTAAAGAAAGCGTATGGAAAATGCTTTGTAGAGAACGAATGTATAAATGTATGAATACTCGAATAGTACAACGACGTAGTTCGGGATAAACTTCAGAAGTAGTAACTTTTGGAGGCTCTATAGTTTCTGATCGTGTTGACGACGCTCGACTTCGCAACTGATCTTCATTGATTACTTGCAATACCAAAGGTCGATCAGCTGATTCGGCAGTGTTTGCTGACGAGCGCACAAAATTGCTGAAGTCATTTTTATTCATGTTTTCAACAATTGTATCATCGACGGTCAGAATATAATCATTTTGACGCAGACCTTTCAAGGAATTGAAGATATCCTATGATTATAAACTGTGCCTGAATTCTTAGAATTACCTTTTTTATCAGCCGGCGAATTTGCTGTGATCTCAATAATTTTATGCTTGTATTCACTTGACTTGTCGTAGTCAGTCTTGAAACCATAACCCAATGTTCGATCGCGTCGTAATTCACATCTTCGTCGATTCGGTGGTAGATTTGTTCCTGCTGCGCCAGGTACAACGGGATGTGCATGCACCATGGCTGCTATGCCACTTGTTGGTTTGGAAGATGCAGAAACGTGTGCTGATGATGTTTCTAAATATAAATTTTGAAGATTTCTTCTCGGAAGACGAGAAAAGAAATTGAAAACAAACCGTCATCTGATTCATCTCGTGGAGCTGATGTAGTTGTCGGATATAAGGATGGTTGTTTTGGAACGAGTGCATGTATTCCAGGAGTCTCGTATAGGTCAGACGCTGGTGGAGGTGATGTTGTTGTTCGGGCATCAGGCTCGCTCTCGTTATCGGTCTGACGTTTATCAACTAATCAAATGAAACGAAAATATGTCACTATATTGAAGTTTCAGTTATAACGGACAAAGAGAAGTTGTTCAATTTCTTACCACTCGATGTATTCTCGTACACTGGAGCTGGTGCTGATGGTGGTGGACCACTTTTTTTATAATTTTTGTATGTTTTCGTATCCATAACAAGGAGCTTCACAGCCAGATTTTTCCTTGCCTCTCTGATTCTGTCAAATGAAAGTTGACTTGGTTTATCGTCCACTAATTCGCCGTCAACTCTGACAACTCGATCACTTTTGCGCAATCCTGCAACAGCAGCTGGCGTATTTGGACCGACTTCTTGAATAAATACACCAATATTTTTGTCACCATTAACCAGTTCAAAGCCAAACGACTGAGTAGCATCTGTTAAATGTATATCACATATACGTTCCTTCTGCGGAAAGTTTGCCTGATCAGCTGGTTGCGCCTGCGGTGCTTCTATTACTCTGGCTTCTTTAGGATTAATTTTGACTTTCTGCTTTACTACATCATCATAATAACGTTTCTCCATAACACGTAATTCGACTGGACCTTTTTTAGTTCGAGCTTTTTTAATAGCGTCCGTAAAGTCAGCGTATTTAGCTTTAATCATATCTTTGCCATTTACGGCGAGAATAATATCACCGATTTTGAGACCAGCTGCAGCTGCTGGACTATTCGACTCAACCAACGAAATCTCATACGGTGCGGTGGATGGAGTTCTCAGATCAAAACCAAGTCCATTAAAACCAGTCCAGCTATACAACCGGCACGCTCGAAGGTTTGCTTCGCGCATAGTAATTTTCTTCACTCCTGCAGACATTTAAATGCTTACTAGTTTTCAATACAGAAACTAACGTCTGAAAAAGAGAAAATAACGAAACATTAGATCTTCCGAACACACAACGATGTAAATGGTCGCATTTTCCCTAGTCTGTTGATGTATATGTTTAACTTTAACGAAATAACACTTCGCTTTATTTGGTTTTTTGTCTAACTGCAAAGTTTTCTCTTCACTTTGTGGCTCCTAATCTGTATCTATTTAAAAAAAACCAACGAAGTCTGATAAGAATTACCTTCACATATTCGGCATGTCATCTTAAATCGAGAAAAGTGAGAACATTTCTACACTTCGTTTATCTAAGGAGATCGAAGAACAAACAACAGTTTCGTCATTTTTTTCAAGTGAGAAGTATGTGAACTACGGCGTGAAACGTTTTGTCCTTCGCTTCATTTGTAACACCTTCGATTTGACTTGGGAGCCAAGGAGTTCTTCCTATGAAGGTTTCCTCACAGCGAGATGTAAAAAGAGAAATAAATCTATTCTGAGTCTCATCGTTTACCTACTACTCGCCCAACACTTGTTTGTCCACAGCTCTTTCATTCAATGTTAATGAAAGTCTAGTGAAGTTCGACCTTCGTTTTTTTTTTGTATTTATAGATAAATAGATAACAAGAAAAAAGAGAGATAAAATTGTTGACAATTTTAACGAGTGAAAAACATAAATTCCTGGTCTGCATTCTTTTTCCCGAATAAAAAATGGAATTTTCATAGTTTACGTACGAAAAACTCAAGAAAACATATGATTCAATCTAACCGATTGCACACCGATCTTATTCGATATCAGAATCTTAATAAGCATTTCATGACTTTATACGAATGCCAATCTAATCAGTATGAAATACTAATGATTAATCATCAGTTTATAAATTCGTGAATAACTTTTTCAGTAGTCTGAATATCAGGTTTGTAAATAATCATCTAAATGTCATGATATGAATCATTTGATGAATTCATGAAATATTTTATTCGAACGGATTCTTTACAGAAAAAAGGAAATTTCACGTTTGAAATTGAATATTACGTTGATGAAATAAATCTTTCAAAATTTCATCCATTTGAGCATTGTAACCGGTTATTTGTCGAGCTATTTGAGCAGACCATTCAAAATATTCCTTGACACGTTCTTCCGACCAACCAACAGGCGTAGCACGATTCAGATCTCGCAAATTGTAAATTTTATCAGCTAGACGAACAACGATAGCATCCGCTGATAACTTTTTCGCGTTTTCAATTTGTAAACGTTTGCGCTCAGCTTTGTCTAAATCCTTATCGTCCGTTAATTCCATTACCAGACCTATGACATATATACAAACGAATTCTCGCTTTGATTTATGAAAGAACAATACCAGCAATACGAGAACCGAATTCTTTCTCAAGTTCGTCAAATGTTGTTTCAGTATCTTCGATTGTATCATGTAAGAGAGCAACCTGAAAGATTGAAAACACTTGTACACACTCGTTTCAATTCAATTTTCTATCACATACAGCGAGTAAATCGAAATCATGAACTCCAGCTTCGTTACTCAAGATATGTGCGACTCCTATTGGATGATTTATGTAAGGTGTTCTATCAGAATCTTTGCGCTTTTGAAATCGATGTTTAAAAGCAGCGAACTGCAATGCGTGCATGAATTTTTCCATATCTACTAATGAAATTCAAATTGACATGCTTAAAATTGTGAAAAGAAATTAAACAAAGAGCGAATTCTGTTTTTTTTTATTAGTTTACGATTTCTCTGCATTTCTTAAATTATAAAAAAAAATATTAAGTAATCGATACATATGTACACATTCAGATAGATGAAAAAAATAGAAATATAATCTTCATTATACACATCACCACTGAGACATATGCAATAAATAAATAGATAAATAAATAAGCCCATTATCCTAATGTAGAATGAGAAGAGAAAAAAAGAAGACTTGAATATATTTACACAAGGACGATTTCATATCTTTTCTTTCAGCGTTCTTCTTCGAGAGTTCGTTCAGGAAGTTCGGTTATCGTATTGATCGAATACTGTGTTAATTTGCCAAAGCCTACACGTAGCTTTTTATCATTCCCATAGAGACCGTTATTGTCAACTGATTCGACACTGAATCGATTGCTTACGACTAAAACCACTTAAAAATGAAGCTAAATACAAGGGAAGAACAACTTACCGTAAGGCGCGAGTATTGGTTGTGTGCTTGTTGAGTTTAGACTGGGAGAGTTAGTCGGGTTAGTATGAGCGATAATAGAGGAGAATTTCATACTGGAATCAGTAATTTTACCGATAAAATCATCGAGAATTTTATAATTTAAATTAGTATTCAATGTCTCTAATGGTGCAACAATTGCAGAGTCAGAATAGATAACTAGAAAGTAAAGGAGAATGACTGCAGGTGAAATATGAAATCATGAAGAGGAAATCGAACGTTGAAGAAATGTGCATGCATGAAGCAAATATGAAAGCTTTCATTCATCTAATCATCATATGCAAACAACTTAAAGTTCTACTGCCATCTGTCATAACAATATTTACTGGAGAAGCCTCTTTTTTTCTCAAAAATACATTATCTATATACGTACGTCCGGCATGTTTGTGCTCAAGTAGCTTATTCAACTCCGGTGTTGATTTCGCACCACTAATAACTCTTGTGCTGAATATACTTGTCAATGGTGGGTAATTAGCTGAAACTAAACGAACAAGCTTCATTTACTGAAAACAAGCTACTGACTTACATATATGTTTATCGGGCGATGCTCCATGTATTGTATTGTAATAACTGTGTGGCAATAAGGATATTTCTAAGAAGAAACAAACACATCAAGATAGAAGACTTCGAAGATTGTACATCTAGCAATAGAATGATTATGATTAACCTAGAGGAACCAGGAAATCATACTAATAAGCGATTCCAAAACAGATGAGCACAAACAATCAAGAAGTTATAGTGAAAAAAGATTAATATGAATATATATATATGTGTGTGTGCATATGTTGTTGGAGAAAGGCAATCTGATACGATATGAGCAGGTAAATCAGGTGAATCAGACAATTGATATTTTTCTTTAATTTTACAAGACACACGCACTGTATAGTGTACCCGAATTTCGACGTGAACAATCAAGATTATCTGTAATGTCTGCTTGAAAACGAGATTTGTTCGAGTAAATACCAAATAGTGCACTCGACTTTCGACGCATTCCCGGCAAGGTTAAAGGATACGATTCAGACTGCTGTGCGGTTATTTCTAGAAGGAACATCAAGCAGCAAACTGATTATTAACGAATAATGTTATCTTTTTTAGAGAGAAGAGAACGTCTAAGGGATATCAAATGCCAGCACCACAAGACGTGACTACATAGATTATGTCCCACCTAAGAGACGACGATTCAAAACTTTGCCTTTGCAAAATAATGATAAGAACAGAAAACAATAGGTGATGAGCTGTAACAGAAAAAACTTACGTTGTAGATCAGATTCGTCGTCTTCCAATGATTTTGGTTTGATTGAACGATGATGATGAGGAGGAGGAGGACCTACGAGAGACATTAGAAATAATCATGGATGAAATCAATGTACTTTGTGTAGATGGAGAATGTAATGCATCGATATTCGTCTGTTCAGACGAACGACTCGGTGTCATTCCACTATTGCTACGATAGATTGTTTTGGTCGAAAACGAACGTTGTTTAATAACTCGTGGATCAGTCTTTTCTGGTGATTTAGTACTGCGAGCGGATATTAAACTAGAATCATCAGCTGTTTCGTTTTCTTTTGATACTGTAGTGATTAGTTCTGATTGTGGTAATGATGATGAAAGTTGTGGCTCGGTAATGACTGACAATGGCGACTCTGGTAAAGATAATTTTGCTCGATGTCTTGGAGGGCTATGCGCCGCTTCACGGTTACTCTTTGGTAGAATTGTGCGAATGTTATTTGCATTGGATGTGATAGGATCGATCTAAATCAATGAATAAAGTCGATTTTACGTTTCTCTTTATGTAGAATATTGTTACTTCTGGTGCAACACCGAGACATCCATAAGCTCCCGGCGAAAAGTGTAATTCAACATGAAAACGCTTCTCAGAATTTTCCTCTTCACTCGAATCTTCGTACAGCATGATAACAATTTGTGTTAAATAGTTCAATTCGGAAACAGTATCTAGATAGTCCATTGAACGTTTCCATTGTTGATCCGACGATGTCTAAAACCGAAAAGAACCGATCGTTGACAGGCAAAGGAAACAAGTTCATTTACGTCTAATAAACCACCGTAACGAATAGCAGTCAGAAGTGAATGTACATGAGATTCACTAGTAAAATACAGTCGTGTTCGAACGTGTCGTCCAGGTGTTTGAATGCCCTTGGAATAGCTTGAAGGAAAACGAAAAAGATTAGTAAATGCCTATAGATTGATTAGAACTATCATTCGATGCGCAAACCTACATGCATGAACATGCAGACGTGGAATGAACTTATGTGTTCCAATTACTTTTAATTCTCTGAGAAACTGAACGAAATCTGTTCCCATTAATCGTTACGAGAATTAAACAAAACCAAAAAATCAAAAGAAATCATTAATAAAAGAGCTGCGGAAATAAATATTTCACGAGAAATTCAATGATACCTGATTGGATCTGAATCACATTGATTCAAGTACCTATACGAGGAGAGTTTGTTTTTAAAATTCTACTCAATTCAATCGAATGTTCTATTCACAGTTCTCATCATATTTTCGGAACAATTTTCCTTACCTTGGATCGAGTTTATTCACATGTTCATCGTGTGTAAGAACGCCAGTTAAATTACATTGAAGATCTATGCAGAAAGACACGAACTACTTCGAATGATTCGAAAATATGAATGTACCAGCTCGAATTTTACGTAATAACGGTGTGACAATACCACGTGCGATACTCAATTTTTCTTCGACAGTCATACCATATTCCTAGAAAATTGTCGAGTGCTCGAAACGAGATCGAAAGAGTTTACTTACTTGTGGTACAACGATATCAGCTAATGCTTTTGAACAAAGATAGAGATCAACAGCATGTGGAAATTGAAGAATAGTTTTGTTATGTAGGAGATCGTATTTAATGGAATCATATATATCAGGTACTTTGGATATATTGAACTTATCTTTTTGAGTATCGTAAAAATCCTTTTCTAATTTAAGCCCTGAAACGATATACAAATGGAATGAAGATGAATGATGTTAAACTGGAACATACAGCGTCTTAAACACAAATCCCATGTTTCGGAATGGTAGAGTGGATCTAAACAAGGACTCAATCAATTCGGATAGAAGTTATTTAGTTCGAAATTTACCCAGAGTATCTTTTACAATACGTGATTGAATTAGTTCAGTCATTTCATGAATATATTCAACGATTTTTCGACAAATAGTTACGGGATTCTTAATAAAATCCATTGATGATATCAATGATTTGGAACGAGTCGGTGCGATCTACAAATAACAGTCAGAATAAACGACTTTGTTTCGATTGTTTATACATACAATGTCGTAATCTTGAGGAGTAAAAGGCCGATCGGTTGCTAATAAATCGTGTAATGCTTGTTTTACTTTCTGTTGTTCCTTTGTCGAATCAACATCATTATCAAGTAGGCCGTTGGTATTCGCGCTTTTCACCATTTGTACAAGTATGGGAGCTAGTTCACCGTCGAGTGCTAGTAAACCTTTTGCAAACGCAGCTGCAGTCATCTGTACACGACCTTCATCCGATGCGTAGATTTTCAAATCATGTCGGAATGTCGAGTGTAGACGGAGAAGTCCGACATCGGGCCGATCACCACCAGCACCTTGACCACCAGGATACATTTTACGAAAAGCCTTTGAAAGGAAACCATTCCAAATCAATGCGGTAGCAGATATGTGGTTACTTTTCCAAGTGCTTCAGCTTGACTCTTGCCTGTCTGAGTTAACTGACCACCCCATTTGACGACCAACAACAACGACGGCTGTGAAGGAATGTCTGATGCTTCTAGACAAAGAATGAGTGAATCGGACGTTGTTGATAAGTATGCATTTACCATCTTCGCTACTGGACTTTTTCGGTAAGCCTTTCGGCAAGTATTTCAATTGAATTTTTCGATTGATTCCAGAGAAATGTCCATATAGTTCTAGGACTTGTTTTAGTTGCATTAGTTTTCCTTTCGTTTCTGGCGAGTTAGGAAATTGCTGAAATAAAATATTTTTTCTCCCGAGCGAAATAGGAAACTTCTCCTGTCTTACATTTATTTCGTTGGCATTAAGTTCCCACAATAATTGTCGAGCAATATTAAGAACTTCCTGCAGAAGAATTCAAGATAACAGTATACAATGGAAATTAGTATACAGAACAAACCTGAAGTTGACCAGGGTGTTTCAGCTTTAGATGACCGGTTTTTGGTCCATTGTATTTTTCGAACAACTGGAAAAATCTTCAATGAAAAAATGCGAAGGAATAACTAATCAAAGCAAATAAATCTCCTGCTTACAATGGATGCAAAACAGCCATTTTCATTTTTTGTTTTGGTGTACGATCACCGTGTCGAATTACTGCAATAACGCAACGTAATTCCATCCTGGTGCCAAAAGCCGTTGGCACGTAGGGCGGATCATCCGGTTGATACGCTATCGGATACGGAATGCATAATTGGGGTGATAGTTCGCGCATAATCATATGTCTACAAAAGAAAAGTCTGCTACGAAGAAGAATTCTCAAGTAATTACCCGAGAATGGATGCACAATCATCATAATATTTCGTGCTATTTTTAACAAAACTGAAACCATTAACATCGCAAACAAATGATTTGCCTTCAGCACGAAGTAAATCAAAACCACACACCGTTTGCTAAAAATTATAATCAGATACCGCTATTCGACTGTCTCCATCATACAAGACATCTGTACCTTAAAAGCGAGACATATTTTCATGGCGATTAATTTTTCATCAGCACGTAAGATAACTGGATATCGAACTTCTTTACCAAATTCATCCCGTTCGACTTTGCCATCAAGACCAGGAGACTTTCTCGCTTCAGCGTGTGCATATTCAGCACCAACAGTATAAACCTAGTTTAGAAAAACAAGTTATTACTCTCCACACTAATCGAATTCGAGAGCGTGCCTTAACATCTGTACCATCTGTAGGCATGAATTCTTCATAAATGTAGGAATCATCTGTACGAATAGCATTTTCGGATGTATACACACTGCTTCGACTACCGATCTAAAGAACATATTCTAAAGAATGAGTATTATGTTCAACACTCGATTTGCACACCTTTCGAAACAGTCGCTGTGAACCGCCACCTGCTGATGATGGAAAATAGATGTAGACATCGTGATTCTCTGCCGAAACTGGCTTTTCTACGAATGGCTTATGGAATATTTCTCCGTCGATTTCAATTTGATCTTCTTGCTCAATAACAGCGGATAATGTTTCCCATGTTCCATCTAAGTGAAACGTGATATTTTTTTAACAATTTGAAATGAATGATACCATGTACTTACCTGGGTTCCTTGCCCTTCGAAGGACACCGTATCGTGGTTGTACGATGCCAGCATCTCGGAGGATTTCATGAACTTTAATTCGATCCATAATATCCCATTGTTTGTCAAGATCGTTAATAAGAAATGGCTTGTGTAGACGTGCATATTCCTGTGTTTTCGCAAGAGGAAATCCTTTACTATGAAAGCTAATGAGTACGTGACAGAACGGCCATTCTTTAACAGGTTTCTCATGTATAGTAGTTTCAGGAAAAATAAGAATACGTAAAAATTCGTATTGCTCAAGCCGGTGTAAAATCTCTTCCATCGGCTTTGCTTTGATTTTCTTCCATTGTGCGCAGATTCCCACTATGATGATTGCCCGATCTTCCTAATGGCATTAAGAAAGAACAAAAACACATTCATATGTCAAAATAACATCTAAAGATTTACTTCGTCGTCACCAGAATTATTAAGATCATCAAATATATCCTCGTATTCATCGCCATGTACAGATTCAGCATAGTTGTCGTCTGGTTGAATATTTGCATTGTATTCACTCATACTTTGTCAAAAACGATTTTGATTTCAATTAGATAAATACATTATTATTAAGTTTGATTGATTTACACTATCTACTCTGTCTTTCTATATCTATTAATATTCTCATCGTGCATTGGCTTGTTTAAAACCTATACGCGTGGAATCAACGCCCTCTGTCAATGATTTATTTTCTCGAGTCACTAGATACAGGACATGACGATGAAACAGAATCATCGCATGCTAAATGTGCATGTGGAAAGCCAGTTAAACCGAATTTAATTGTTTGTTTTCTCTGATTATTATCATCACCACACGAACATCGACAATTTAATTTATATTCAGGACTAACGACCTAAACCACCAAACAATACGTATTAAATTTCTATCCGAACCTTTAAAAGTGTAGTTTGCGTCCCAGAAACTACAATCGATAGGCTCTAATTTTCCTCGACTTAGTTTTCCGATAACAGTAATCCGCTGCTAGATTACATATAGGAAGAAATAGAACGTTGTAAAGTAAGGAAACTATGTGGTATGAACAAATAGGTCTTTTTGAAAAACATATGCTAAACTCGAGATTAGTTCGTACACTGAGTACGATGAACTTACCATTTCGTATAGATCTTGTAAGATGTTAATACCTTGGAAATCACAATTGGCGATCTTCTTTGTCGTATCACAACAACAATCGCAATCGAGAAAATTTAATTGAAATTGATCTTTCATATAAACATGCGAACGTGTTCGATCATTAGTTTCCGTGGAGACAGTCTTCATCACAACTTCATCAGTATGATTATTACAACTAACACGTGAACCCATAAGAGACGGGGAAAAAACAAGGCAATGAACTAGTGAAAATGATCGAATTTGTTGACAGAAGAAAACGACAGATGAAAAAGCGCGAAGAATCTTTCGATAAACAACTGATCAAGGTACAACCTATCTCAATCTGGAAGGTAAATACATCATTTTATATATTTCTTCTTTTCCGTTTTCCTTTAAGTGATGCTTGTTGTGACAGGGCCGTTTTTGTCGACGTGCTCTGCTCATTCAAATGTTGAATATTAATAATATGTGATTCAATAGTTGGTCGTTTATTAATCATGCTCAGAATAATGATGAATATGATGATTGTAATTGTAAGAATTCCCAATGCTGCGTAGCGAAATCGTTGCCAAAAAAGATCCCGTTCCTGAACTTTACGATAACTAGCAATTCCTAGGAGAAAAAAGAAGCAAAGGTTCAAACATTAATCCAATATATTTGCCTTGGAAACATGTCGTTGTAACAGGATTTATAATAAATCCTCGACAACTATTAAGCTGACATTGTAATGAAAATATACTACATCATCTATTGAGTTTATGACATGTCTGCTAGGAGCGCATTAGATAGAGGTAATTGAGATCTCGTGCTTTTTTCAGCTATCGTATATGTCGTCTATTTAGAGAAAAGTGCAAAATACTTCTGACAGATGTCTGAACACCGAGATAGTTTCCTTCGGCGAATTAATCAGGTGTTGAGCAAAGCTATTCTCTAATTAAAACTTGAATCCGTTACCAAAAACGAGATTTTCATTTTTGCTCAACATTTCTTCTGAGCGCATGTTCAACTTATCAAGTTGTTCTCGTCGGTTGTCAGCATGTTGGAGTGCCGAACGAAGGTCTTGATCCGTTTGATCGATAATCTCATGCATCATATTGATCTGGTGTTGGCTTTGTTGAGTATTGGACACGAGAGGTTCTGATCGTGTTAGTTTTACTGATAGTTTACTGGGATTTGTCTGTTGAAAACTGCTCGACATAAGTGTATTCTTGTCTGCCAAAAATTTCCTTTTCAAAAGAAAAATTTCTTGTACTTTTCACTTCTCATTCAGATTCATTTGTCAAGAAGAAAAAACAAAGCGCGTGACAGTTTGACTGCTTTTATTCTAAATTTTCAATTGAATTTACACGACGAAGGTTTTAGTTCTAATTTTGTCGACGACGAAGTGACCATTGATAACGTAATTGTCGGCGTGATCGAAATCGAAAGTAACAACACAGGGTTTCAATAATCGCTTGACGAAAATTTCGTGAGCTGTACACGTAGAGAAACGGATTGAGTAGCGAATTGATATAGCCGAACCAGAAGATAATACTTTGAAGAGCACCTGGGAATTTATTTGGGTACAAAATCATTGTTGGATAAGAGATCGTGAATGGAAGCCAACAAATGAGAAAAACAGCGAGAAGTATTCCTGAAAGTACAAAATGTTTCATTCAGCAGCGATCTTTGGACGAGAAATTCTTTTCAACGAAGCAGTTATGAGTATTTCCGAAGTAATTCAGAATAGGAAAAAATTATCAAGCTGAATATTACATGCAATATGAAAAATGATAGAAATTAGCATAAAATTGCTCAAAATGCTCTTCATTTTCCGTCGGAGGAAAACAATGTCAATATGTACTTAAATTCACATAACAAATCTCTCTTACCCAGCATTCGACTAGCTTTTTGATTACGCCGTAACCGTGCTTTATGTCGTTCATGTAAAAATTGTGTCACAGCTCGTTGACTGTATCGACTGGAGTGATAGGATGTAGATAAATGTGACTGTGGATTATGTTGGTTAAACCGACGATGATCATCGTCGAGAGGATTGTCAAATGACGAACTATGATCTGAGAGATCGACCGCAGCGATACCATTATTGTTATTGCTATTGATGTTCTTGTTCGGACATTGCGCGGATGAATGAGATAGTGATCGACTACGTTCGTTGATGGGTACATGTGGTTGATGAGAGAGAGATGGCGTGGGATGATGACAATCTTCGATAATTGCTTTGGTGATTATTGTCTGAGAGTGAGTTTGATGTTGATGCTGTTGATAATAATAGTACGACACACAACGAGCTGCTGGTAATGATGACGTACGAGTACTGAGACGAGCTCGAACTAATTGATGTTCTTCGTCTTGATGGGCTTCAACAGTAAAACGTTTTTGGCCCGTAAATGTTGCCGTCGTTGCGTATCGCGAGGGATGACGAGCAACATGTGTAGGTAAGCTTTTAATTTTCATATCTTTTAACGCCGTTGTTGAGCGTCTCGCTCTTCTCTTCGTACGATGACGATGTTCATCAGCTGGCTTTTGATTGATTAGTACTTCGTGAACACTAACAGGCTTTTCATTGACATTCAGAATATCTTGTCGAGTGGACTTCTTCGTTCGATTCCGCTGGCAATATTTATAAATAAGCGCTCGTAGTGACGATAATGACATCGACATCGACGACGATGTCGTAGTTGAGTTACTCTTGTTCTGATGTAGATAATTATAAACCGGTGACGTTCCTGCCACCGTTGCTATAACAGATGTTTTCAAGTCGTTTGATGACCCATTCAAATTAATTGTGTCCCAAGTGCCTCGTATCTATAGAAAGAAAACGATTCATTCGAGTAAAAAAACTTTGTCAATCTGTCGAATGGCATGAAACATGATTTAATTCATGCTTGAAGATGAAAGCAAAAACAACGTTGTTCTATAACTTACTACTCTATGATTTTAACTAGTTGTCATGCTTTTTTTAATAATCTTTTTTTTTTCTTATAAGTTGTCTTGAAGTGATTTCAGCTCTTATTCTCATTAGAAATGTAAAACTAACGAAAAAGATCTGCGCAGAAGACCTTTCAGATCTGTTTCTATGTGATGTACATTGAAAAGATCCGTAAGAAAAGAGTTCATCGGGCATATAATTCTTCTTTTCATTAACGATTCTTTTTTTTATTCTGACCGGATATCTCAAACTTTGATCTGTTTGTCATTTTGTGAACATTTGTTTAAAAGATTTCAATTAACTTACGAGAACTTCGATATTTTTTATGTTAACGATAATTCTTGAATAACAAGCGAGCATAAACAATAATGGAATATAGTAGAAAAATGTACATAAGATCAGAATTATATATGGACGTGCAGGATGAACACAGTCTGGTTTGTTTGTTGCATAATGATGTGCAATAACTATCGAACTCGGCCATATAGCAAATGGGATCGCCCATGAACTAACAATAAATGCCAATATTGACGAATGTGATCGATTCCGTAGATGAAAATACGGTGCTAGAACGAGCAAGAAGTTCTTTTTGAGTTTTCATGATAGACAATATGGAATTCTACCTGTCAAAGCCCAATACCGATCCAAGGCCATTGAAGCAAGTGTGAGAAACGATGCTGTTGAACAAGTAAAGTCAATCGCCATCCAAACATAGCAAAGACGATAATGAAATGGCCAACGCAAATGTAACGAATGCACGGTCATCAGTGGCATGACGAATAGACCAACGAGAAAATCGGCTAAACATAAGCTAACAATGAAATAATCTGAATAGGATCGAGCATGAAGACGAAATTTAACTGAAATCAACACTAAACCATTGCCTAGAAGACAAACATCGCACATTTTCATCAACATATCCTTGACGACGAACCTAAGATAGTCAATATAGTGATCAACCCGCACAATGTCAAAACACTAATGGTTCGAAAATTCCACTTGAGTACATCGGAAAACGTTGCTTCGCTGACATTTACGGACGCCATGGAGAAGTTCAAAAGAGACTGACAAGCTTTAGTTGAAAATAAGTAATGATCACATTAGACATCTTCGAGGTTTCTTTTCAAGCGAGCGTTCGATGCGGACATCAGTAAACGGATGTTAATAGTTCTTCAATCTAAAAATAATAACGAAGTCAGATAACTTGAAAATTTATGTAACCATTTAGTTCATGATATTTGCCATAGGAAGAGAAAAGAAGTCGGGCGTCGTATCGTGCAAAAGCGCAGAAAAAAGAATAGAGAAAAACAGACAACAAAAGACGAGAGAGGATAGTGCGTATTAACAAAAAAAATTAATATTGAGCTGCTTACGCGATGTTTCGCTCTCTCATCTTTCCTGTCGTGTTCGCGTCTCGTCATAAAATGTGCCAGCGAAAATTCTCCTCTCTGGATCTAATAAAACACACACGAGCTTTACCTAATCATCGCATTCATCGAAATAAACATCTAGTTAACAGGTCGCTTTTATTGATATAGCGAAGAATCAAACTAAGATATGTTTGTTAACCAGCATGCAAATCTACCTAGCAAACATCATTAGTCGGGCAAGGTTGATTTGTTTTCTTGCAGAAGAAATGAAAGTCAACAAAGACAAGGAAAAACATCGTTCAAGGTTGTCATGAACATAATTGTCCGCTCGCCAAGTATTTTAGGTCTGTTGACACGCAAATTATCAGCGTACAACAATCATTGATTCTCATTTGTCGAACAGAAAGCAGTGTTGAAATACAATCCGAACAATATTCGTTTTTTTTTAGCAAATTTATCCTTCGGCGGAAAGAAATATGTCATAGAGTGCATAGTGTATCAGACATTCTCATAAAAAGACAATCGTTCCTACCTAAGTCACCAAAAGATCTATCTTGTCGTCAAATGTCAAACGGCTGTACACTACAACAAAAAAGTATGGAGATATGCAAATGAAGCAGCGAAAGTAGATGCATAATAGTATAAATCGAGCACATCTAGACATAATAGTACTTAAAGAATCTAAATTACCAAGTAAAATTGATGCTGTGCTAAAGGCTATGCATGAAGAGAAAGGAACGTCGTCTAAACTCATGCTGAAGATCGAAACTGGGTGTAAAAAAAGAAAATTTTCTGTATTAATTTGATTCCATCGCTATATTTACGCTTAATCTATTGCGAGAAATAAAAACCAGGTCAATGAAACACAATTGCGACTTTTCTTTACTTGCACGTTTTTCCTGGCTCAGTCCTGGGAGTAGAAAGAGGAAAACTAGAGCAAACTTGTATTCGTTTGCTCCTCTATTCAATGGTATTGCTCAGATGAAAAAGCAGCAATTATCGAGATTTTTAATGAATCGATTAGCGAGTGTGAAGAAGCTGCAAAATAAGTGTGTATGTCAATGGTGGGTGTTTGTATACTTCGGTAATTTAATCGCAAATAATGACGAATGGGAAGGAAAAAAGTCAAAACGCTGATAAAGAGAAGAAATGACTTTCCGTGCTAAATCGAGAACAATGACGTCGATTCTCATATATTCAACCAGTTGACTACTATAGTAGTAGTACTTCTTGCTTTCCATCTTCACTACGCACTTCGATAAAAAGTGGTACATTTTTAATTATTGATTACGACTGTCGATGATAGAAAGAGAGAGAAACATATGATTGCGGAGATTTTCTTTCGCATATCTATATAGATAAATAATTAATTATATTTTATTTATTGTGCTATCAAAAGAAAAGGAGAAACAAACAGCATGCACGCTGTCAACTCGATTTGACAGATTCTTTGCTCAAACAATCAGATGTTGAGATCGCAGATACTTCTTGTCAATTCGAAAAGAAAATCATTAATAGCTTTTCTTGAATGTCAATTGAGACCATAATAGTGGTACGCTCGACGATACATTTCGATATATACACGCTTGTTTTCTTGACATTTAATTAGAAAATCAGAAGATTAGTGTGAACTGAATGCATCGAACATGTTTCAGTCATCCGACAAATATCGATTCGCAGAAGAAAGAACCGGCTGATTTTGTTGAAAATGTAATATTGACAGATTTCCTCCGGGATTGATTAATAACAAATGAACACACGATTAATATTTCAAGAAGTGAAAGAGCAACACGGAGAGTTTTCATTAAGATAGATATGTCACGTTTTCATGACTATAATTTACTGTCAAGTGACTACTGAATGAACCTACAGGTACGAGGATCAACTGTACTTAGTTTGTTGACAAGCTCGACGATTACTATTCCGAGAACGTAATCAATAATCATAGTCGTACTTTTGATCTTTGTGAGAAAACACCAGGATGTTGTCTTGTCGAGAATATTGAATTAACAATCAATTGGTATTTTGACGAGAAAGTATTAACATCATTTGTTAGTCATGGAGATGTAGGATCTCCAACTGTTATTTTGTTCTTCGTACGCGGAGCAGAAAGACTTCAAATGTGAAACATTGTTACAAAAAGATACGGGTATTAGATTAAGCGGCTAATCAATGACCAGGAAAAGTTCCTGATGAAGCTTCGGGAATTAATATGTCTTATAAATTTCGAAATCTTCTGAAAAAAGATTTTCTCATTGTTGAATAATCAATAGACTGTTCATACTTTTCTAAGCATTGACTTTTCTCTGGTTCATCAATCATCCACTAATCAAACGTCTCGAATACACTTTTTCCAACAAACTTGATTACAGAATCGCATTTACTATTTCAAAATGTTTTCTAGTCAGGTTCCATGCTCCGCTCACTCTATTTAATTGTGGCAGATGCTATCGTTGATTATAACATATGTGACAATCGTAAGTCATGTCGGTCGAATTTGCGGTTGACAACATACTTTTTTCTGTCAGGATGTCGTGTTACACTATGACAAATAAATGAGAAATACGCCCAACAAATATTGGTTTCCACGTGAATTGCCACAAACTCTTGATAATTGCACTGAAGCACATTATTCATTGGCAAAAAATGTACGCAAAGTTTGTTACTGAAACATCAAAGAATTATTTTAAGAACCTTCGGAATATGTGCTTACGTTTTCCTGAAAAGTTAACATGATCTAGACAAAAGAAAAAGTCATTTCGAAGTAATTTTCAGATACGTAATTACAATTGTTACCAACGAGAAGTGCGAGCGATAAAGTATAACTTCCTCGTTCGGTACGAAATTTCGTATTCCTTCATGACATTTATATCCAGGTTTCTTTTCAAACGTCATATCAATATACTTTAATGGCTGAGCACAGGCCTAGATTACATTTCAGTAAAGAATAACAAGAAGGAATACCATAGCTGATAGTGATGCTCAAGTACAGTTTTTCTTTCATCTCGAGAACAAATCAGAAATAATCTAATTTCATTTGCTCGTTAGATGTTTTTCTTAACTTGATAGTCTAAGAACATGAACTGTCAACGGTGATTTACTTCGAGTGTGTTTTGTGCAAATAGAGTAAACAAAGACTATGAGAATGAATCATTGATCTCGTTATTTATTGGAAGAATTTTTCGAAATAGATATAAGAATGGCTCGAAAGTATGAAGACATTGAACGCGAGATTCGCCGAATTGAAGGACAACTTTTGGTCGCCAAACAAATCTGCCGAGAAAACGTATTCAATTTGCCTTTGTAACCCAAAAATCTTGTTTGATATTTCTCATAGCTTAAAGAAATAAACCATCTGAAGAAACAACAAGAAAATGATTCGATTCTCGAACAAACAAATCATCTTCTATCACTGAAATCTCTAAATTCTCGTCAACAGGCTGATCAGTTCAACGATTTAGTCAGTAGAAAATAATCGTACGAATCGCATTCTTATGATTATCATTTCTCAGCTTCGTCTAGTTTATGAACAACAAGCAAATTCACTTGAAAAGACTATACAAGCTGAAGAAAAAGTACGATGTAAAATAATCGGTTAACGCAGTACTCTATTTTATTTGTAGAATGCAGACGAAAATGCCTTGCTAGTTGATCTGTCGTCGAATATCACTGAGCTGGAATCATTATTTGATTATGCGAAAACTCTCCTCACTCAACCGGTTACATCGATCCATATGCTCAACAGTAAATACCAACACTTCAAGTCATATGATCATTCAGTTGGATTTTAGATACTCTCCCATTACACGATATTACTACAGATCTCTCCACCACCCGTCGTTTATCAACAAATTCTATTCAAATCACTGATCTTCAACAACGCGTAGATCTCATGCATCAACGACTAACAAATCTCGATCAATGCGATGATTGCTTAATACAGTAGAAAACAATCTTTCTCTTCTTTTTACTCCTTCTAACAATAAAGCGCGTTCGATTGTATTTCAGTTTTTTTTACCTTTGCGCTTTCTCAATGTCTGACTACCAAAATATTGACTGGCAAAAATCCATGAGTAAGTAGCCAACAGCAACAAAACCGCCGCAAAACAATTGACATGCGTACGCATACTTTTGTTAGCATTCGCATTTACAAGCGGCGGTTTATTCGGCTATTTACTTCGTTCGATAAGACCAATAGCGATCTTCACATCCGTTGCAGCTGGTGCTGCACTTGGTTCTTTAGTTACATACAGGTATCTCGATACAGAACAACGATTACTGCCAGACATGAACGATGTACAAGCGAATCAGCCAGGACATTTTGAATATTTTCAAGAATAAAGATTTTTGAAAAAAGAAACACAAATAAGCACATCGAAAGCTTTTTTACATATGCAAATGTTCGTCAAGTCGAATGTTTAAACACGAGAAAAAGAACAAATAGTTACACTCATTGACGATCAAGAATACAAAACGACGAAAGAAGTGCTTTGCCTGCTCGCAAATGATTTTTTATGCTTTGTTTGAAACAATTAATAATGTGTATTTATTCATTCATTCATTCTCATGCCAGAAAAATAGCTAATTAAGCTATACAGTGAATGTATCAGACACAGACGTAAATATATATATTTTTTTTGAACAAAGATCGCTTTTCTATCTACCAGTGTGCTAGATGAATATCGGCGACGTTCTTCAAAAATTCGGCGTGACTTGCATACAACGGTGTTTCCGAACCTAGATCGTGCCAAAACGCACTTAAAGCGTCACTTCCACCGTGAACATTGATCAATGCCAGATGTTCGTTGCTGCCATCATGAAAATTGTATGCTACATGGAAAACAAAATAGGAATCGATCTTCTATCGAGATATGTATACCTGTTGTTTCCATCCAACTATTATCTGTATTTCTAAATAAAATAAACTGATTACAACGAAATCCATGGGATGAAAGATTTGGAGTACCTTGGATCATCAACATAACCGCAATAGATTCGAATACCACCATTTTCGAAAACATCTTTTATTGTTGCTAGTAATTTTTGCTTGTCGCGTTCATTCATATCTGGAAAATTCAATGTTTCTTCATGAAATTCGCGTTGTAACGTATCGGTAACTTTTTCTTTTTTCTCAACCATTCCACCCGGTATAGCGTATTCCCGAGTATCTTTCCGTAATATACAGACAAATTGTAAAACAGGCTTTCGCGTTGTTGGATGTATAACTATTTCATTATTGGCGTCCCGTTTCCAACGTGTGACAATCGGATCGGCAGCATGATTAGGACCAAAATGACCTATGAAAGGAAAATCGTATTACTTGATTTGTTGTCTAGACGTACTTCTAACATACCCAGATGTCCTCGTCCGGTGATACCCGTTCGTCCACATGGATTTTGTGGGACACGCCCAACGATTTTGTAGATACCATGATATGATCTTCTATCGCACAAACGATCATCTTGATTCCATGGAATTGTTACACTTAAATCGAATCGAGGATCGCGATCAACATATTCCTTCGTTGAGTTTTTAACTTTTTCGGATGTGAATTCAACTGGATGATAATCATAAGATGTTGACCAACGAACTTTATTATCTGGTACAACCGTTCGATTAACCAACGGTTGCTCCTTCGTACCTGTTCGGGTATATTTTGCATTGACACACGTCGTTTCTGACTTCGATTTATCACATGGCATACCACAATTACGACACTTGTAATGAATTGGTATCAGATTGTTCTCGTATTGATGCATACGAGTGTGTAAGTGAATATTAAAACGAGAAAGAAATTGACCCATCTCTTCTGACAAGTATGAAATGTACTAATCGGATGATAGCAAAACTATAATTTTCATCTGAAAAAAAAACGAAAACATTGTCGAGAAAAAACACTGTTTGACGTAACAACTGAACTCATGGTTTCTATTGGTTTCTTTATACGCGGATACTTTTCGTAGTCTGTTCTGACGTCACTTGCATTGCTTACTCGTCTCGCATATTGACGTTAATCGCCTACGCACATTCATACGCGCATATCTGTGTATAAAAATCGAAGATTTGCTTCAGTTTCGAAAGTAACTGAAGTAAATAAATCAGAGGGAAACGGCCTTCTTCCCATCTGATAGTTTATTCATCGAAATATGACTCACTGTCTAGCGTTGCTATGGAACGAGTGAAGAACAAACAAGCGAAAAAGTACGCTGCTGTATACGAGCTTCTCTCATTCTGTCGCTGAAAAAAAAATAAGAGAAGAGAAAAACGGAAGAAAAACAAGTCCTTTTTTTTGTGTTTTTAACTGTTTTTTTTATTTTAGTTTTCTTATACATCTTGTGCATATTTATCACAGAAAGAAAGAAAAAATTGAAGACAAAGCTAAGGAGATATGTGAACTTGAATTGAACATTGAAGGAAAAAATACCGAGAGATCTGCTGTGTTGACGCGTCGGCGAAAACGAGAGTTTATATGTCTTTTACATAAATAAAACCGTCTGTCGTCCAGATTTGAACATAGTACTTCACTGTATCGAAAGCAAGACGAAAAGAAGAAAACTTATAGCAGCCAAAGTAGAGGACAAAAGAAAATTAATAAAGTTAAAAATCCGTTTCGATCGATTGAATAGAATGTGCAAAGCGAGAGACAAGTTGCTCTTCATTTGTTGAATGCGGATACGACAGCCCACATGACTTCCATTTTCGGGTCATATTTACTCGTTTCTTGATCGGGATCAAGATCAAGCAATTCACGCACATGTTTCATCGCTACTTCGTAATCTTCATCTGATAATGGCGTAAACGCATTTTCTAAAACATCTAAATCCCAAGCAAAAGCGAGAATGTTTCACCGTCTGAATGAAGCACGACGAATTCTTACCACTTGCATGTGCAAGATAAATCAACGCTAATATACGTTTATCAATTCGGCGTGGATCATTTGGCCAACGTGTTAGAACACTATCTTGAACTTTTTTAACCAATTTTAACTTATGAACACTATCGTTGAGAGGATGTGTTGTCATGTCGAATAGGAAGAAGTTTTGTTTCTCTGTACTACATATGCCTTTATCAACGAGGTTCTTTGCCAAACGTTCACGAACATTACGAAGTTGATATTTTAATTTCATTGGATTCCAGCATTCACCTAAACCACGCAAATAGGTATACGCAGGTATACTTAAAGTGCACTGTTAGTCAAAATACAAAAGGAATGTACTATTTTCAAGGCTATTGACATATCGTGGTATTTCAAATCACGAAAATATTATTATATTATATTTATCGAATGTTTAACGATTCTTTTTTACATACCACTCAGATATTCGATCCAACTTTGTACTGTTTCTGTTGGTTGTGTGTCTTTGATGTGTCGTAATGATTCATCAAGTAAAACATCTCCGGTAGCGGTATCGTCGAGTAAAACAACTTTGCGATTGGCCAATGTTCGACGACGTGTGCCAGTCTTTTCTAATTCGATTCGACCACGAAAACTTAATTCAGTTAGAATACAACCGCGTAAACCGGACGAAATACAATCGTTCCAAAACGATGTGTAACCCTACAAAGACATAAAGATTCAATTGAAATATTTCTCAACGTTCAAAGAGACGAACTTCGCGATCTTTGAGCCCAAGTAAAAGTACTTCTTCCATCAAAGTCAATCGTGTTTCTTTATCGCCATCACTATCCTGTTCATCGTCTTTATTTCCTGTAGCGCGATGATGCGCATTCGATTCATTGTAATTATTACTTGCAGACTCAGTGTATGTTCCACTCGAATCGGATGTTGCTGGTGCTCTGATGGGACGCCGCGTGAGTGATGACATTTCTTAAAACTTTCCAGACGAAAAAAAAATCAAATCTTTTTTTTCTCTAAAAATAAACATAAATATATTATCAAGGTCAATCAATGAACCCCTTTAATAATCAAAACTCTTGACAGCGATTGAGCTTCGTTTGACACAATGGCACATCAATGTGTAATGCTAGAGACACAAAGACGCATGACATATGTATTTATCCTTTGCTCATGTTTAGCAGAGATTTGTCTATCTATTCGGAAGAAAAGCAAGATGAGCGAATGAGTCACGTAGTGTATACTGTTAAGGTATTTGATATTTATTGAGCAAAAAAAATAATCACAATTGTTTCTTTTCTGTCATAATTATTATTTTCAAATGTATGCAATAGGAAAGAAGCAGTGGCAGACTTTCGACAAAGAACGACATCTATAGAATGTCATAAACTATATATTCTGAGCATATATCAACGCGAAGCTCAATTGTAAACGTGAATTCATAGTTAAGGATACATTCAGCCAAATACTGTTGTGACTAAATTTAAATTAAATTTGAACGTATTTTACAGTTAATTTGATCAATAAGAAAGTTGATCAATTAAGCGGTGCCGTCTTCTTGTTGAAAATAATTTTCTTGTAATTTGTTGATAAACTATTAACGGATAGAAATCTATCGCTTTATCTTCAATGTGTCAGTGTATTGTATTTGGAATATCATTTTTGATTGTGTACCATTCCCGGTTAGAGTAAAGTATATTAGTTGAAAATTCTCTAATCGAACATCGCGAATCAACAGAGAGAGAGAAAACCTAAACACAGAATATCGTCGATCAAATATTGATTTACAATTATAGTATATATTTCCATCTTACTGGAAATAAAAGTGCCCTTAGCCTAATAATTAACACTGCCCTTTTTATTGAAAATAAAAGTCTTTTCGATTTGTTATTCGTCATTGATTAATTCTCGGACGACGATTCCACATGATACGAGATTCGTTCGGTTCCGGGCTGGATTGTTTGCTCTGGGTGTGTCGAATGACCAACGGACTCGCATGGTTCCGCATTCTTAATGGCCAAATGCTCACACGATTAAGTACCGTACTCCACACTGCATTTATACAGCTCTTTTCAAATTTTCTTTGCTTATTTCTCGACGTACATATTTAAATTTCTGATTTTGTCTTGAAATCATCTCAATAGCAGTAAATGATAAAACGATCTAATTGGGAACATCGATCTGTCAAATTGTACTGCGATTCTCGATTCATATATCTGTCGTCGATGAAACCGAAGTTTTTCATATAGAACTTTAATCAGATGGTTAAACGTATTAATTCCAATAGCACAAACTCGTATCCGAATGCAATCTAACAATAAACAGGTCGTAAATCATTTTTTGGGAAAACATCTGCGTAAAATAAAAGGTCTTTTCCACTTTCATCTTTATCGTCATTCAAGATTATTAAACAAGTTGCATAGAACAATTCAGTTATAATACCGTCCGATTCTGTGCGTTGTTATGCACGTGATAATTTTGATATGCTGAAACAATTGAAATCAAACTCGTATTATCTAGAATTGGATATACACTAAACATGTATGCAAAGACAAACTATTTGTCAAAAAAATAACGACTGTTTGAACTGATAATTTTCTTGCAACGCAAGATCGACTGATTGTGTTTATTGACCATCGATATTCAACGAATAGTTTGAGAAATCAAAGATGAGATAATAAGTTTACGTTGTATTGTTTTCAGCAACAATCTAACATCGCTTTCTACGTTAAACCATTTAATCTAACTGAGAAATTCGTGTGCACATATGCATCTGCTCTAGCCAATTATCTACCATTTCTTTTATGTTCACAGTAGCAGGTGAAATACGGGACATGTCTGAAGAAGAGCAATCAGAGACACGCAAGATCGATGTTTTCTTGTGAGACAAAATCTCGGACTGAACAGTTTGATATTTTCTGCGCGAAGAATACTCAGTTGCTTTTTGACACCTCTATTCTTTTGAGAATTGAACTCAATTAACTCTTACACATCACCAGGAGATCAATTGTGTGAATATTCATGTTTTCTTTCAATTGCTAATAATCACTAGACAACCATTTCCTATTTCGATGTGTCATTATGAGAAACCGGATGATGAAGAGAGAGAGAGAGAAGGAAAGAAAACAACAACAACAACAACGAGAGCAAAGATAATTTTCTTTTCTCGTTCAACGAATCGATCCATCTGCTTGTACATCATTGTAATATTTAGCTCGTTATGACACCTTTCTCTCTTTTTTCCTTAACGATCGACGAATAGGAAAGCGAAATTTGTTGAGCATCTGACGACGAATTCTTTCCTTCCTTCTTCAATTATGTCAATCGATAGTATGAATGCACACACCTGTCTTCACACTCATTCATTTCATCGCATAAAATGATTCACGTACGTATCGACAACCATCATTCAACCGCTGTGGATATCTATGTTAATATTTCTCCACAAAATATGATTACCTCATCGTCACCCATCTCTTCTTCTTCTTCTTCCACTGATGAACACATTTATGATCGCCTAGCTCATATCGACACTAGTCTTCCACGACAATCGAAAGTCATTTATAACAATCGAACAGCTTCGATCCGTTCAATGAACAAGAAGAACTATACACTTCAGCAAATACTCGACAATGTCGAAACAATCCAAAAGCAATACGAACAAGTTGTGAATGATCGAACAACCTCAACACCATCATGCTTCTTTTCTATGAAACAATTTACAAAAGTATTGAAAAATCTACGGACTGTGAAGACGAAAACGTCGGAAGAGATCACCCAAACAGATAATTCGGAAACAAAATCTCCATTCATCTTCGGCGGTGAAACATTGCAATGGATTGCCTTACCACAAGATGAACATATTTATGAAAATGAATTTCTCCATTGAAGATATTCTCCATTCTTAAACATACCGGTGATTTGTTTTTTCTCTCTCTGTATAATCTCTTTTCGTTTTGCTGGTTTTCGTTCTTGTTCATGTCAAATAATAAACAATAGAAGAAATAGATATCTGATGTCATCAAAAACGACAAACCGATCGTCGATCTACGTGTAATCATGACATAATCATCATACGATGAAGTTGATTCATAAAAAATACATTCCATTTCTATCGATTATATATCTAACTGTGAGAATGTGAACAAGGTGCCAAGAGAAACATTTTGAGACTTGAAAGAAAATGCTTGGCGCGGCAAGTCCAATTGCCTGAGTGTCACACACAATATCGATATGTTTTCCGGTGACAGCACGGCGACATTGGTGGTAGTAGTTATTCTTTCTATCTAGGGAAATACAACAACACGATTAATTAAAAAGTACGCTCTAAGAATAACCTTTGTCTTATTATAACCTTCGTAAGTGCGCAAAGTGCAAGAAAAAGTAGATTTAAATCGCAATAGAAGAAGAAAAACCAACAACTGCTGACACCTTGATAATTTAATAACTGATCTTTGATAATCTATTATTCCGTTGTTCATATTATCGTTATACGAAGCTTAATTACGGAGTTTTTTTATAGATCTCTCGCAGACATAAAATATCTCGTTGTGAAATGAATAAGACGAGATTTCAGGAAGTAATTATCTAAATGCAATGGAAACCTTGCAGACGTTCTTTCTTTTGAAATTAGGATCAAAGTATCGTAGGAATTTGTCTGGTTCTTGTCTGCTGCTATTAATCTTTGAAAAAGTAGCAGATTAATTTAATGAAATAGATGATAGAAGATGAATTAGTTTGATTTGACATCCATTAAAACAAGAATGATGATAATTTGCTAATTGTGTTTGACATAATCATTCAGTCATCAATGAGAGAAATATTCCGACGTAATTTAGCTCTCTCTCTTCGCTCATTAGAAAAGAAACACGAAGAAAAGATGAACTATTTGAAGCAGGCGTAAAGATAGTAGAAATGACTCATCTATTTCCAACATTTTCTTCATTCTATGTAATCAGCCAACCGCTAGTCGTCGTCTTTTTCTTCTTCTTCTTCTTCTTCTTCTATTGATCTAAACTAGCTACGTCTTACTCTTTCTCTATTTCTTCGTACAAAAGTAGAAGTTATAGAAAAGATTCTTTTATTTTCACTTTTAGATTCTTTCTGCTGTTCGTTAGTATGGAAGGTAATTCTAATTGCAACAAAAATAGAAGAATCTTTTGACTTTTATCATCTTGTTTTCTAGGTTGTCCACGTCTTACTGCGATAGGCTTCGATCTCAAATCATCTCTTGAGTCAGTCAACTTATGTGAAAAGATTCCGAACGTAAAATCGACTTATCTTAGTTGAACGTCTTATCAGTTTTTAGCTCTTCTTTAGTTTATCACTGCTAATTATCAAGAAAACGGTGAAAATTTCACGAAAGAATGCGATCAAATCAATCAACTCCGACAAGTAATGAAAGAATGACAAGATTTGTTAATCTAACTCGTTTCTTCGCAGAGTGCTATTAATTGCTCAGTAGATGAAACGGGGATTCAATGGCTTAAACGATACTATTGTCAATTACAATTGTTACGTAATCGTTTTCCAATGTATTCTGATGGCGGATGCTCAGTTCGGTTTACTTGGTAAACAGGCTTTATGAAGTAGAACGACCTTTATTACAAAAGCCTTCTTTCATGTTTTCAGGGAGGATGGATTCCAGCGAGAAGAAAATACCTACAACGACATTCGATATGAAGAAGCGTGTATCTTATATAATATCGGAGTAATCTATTCGAAATTAGGAGCTCATGAATCGAGGAAGACACATGAAGTATGGATAATTATGATAGAGAGAGAGAGTGGATTAACACGGTATTTGATGTCTTCTAGAGCATGAAGAATGCTTGTACTTATTTTCGATATTCGGCAGCATGCTTTGAAAAAGTACGAGATCAATACACACCGTATTCGTTAGATTTCACTCCAGAATTATTAACTTGTCAAGTGGAGATTCTTTTGGTGAGATTTACTGTTTGTCATTTCCATATAAAAGTGTGAAACTTGAGTAGGCACAAGCACATGAAGCAGTTCTCGAGAAATCAGTACTCGATCAACGCCCACCTTCGGTGAATGCTCATATCGCCAAGCAAATCTCGGAGTATTATCAAATGGCATTAAGTAATCTTGAGAAGCCTGAAGTGAATTCAATCATATCAAAACAATATCGAGTAAGTTGGAAGGATTTCTCTTGTTTCGAACGAGTTTCGTATCATATGTAGGAATGGCGAACTGTATTAACATATAAACTATCGTATTATCTTGCTGTAACATATTACTGCTGTGGTATGATCGCGGAGGAAACTAAGAAACGTGGTGAAGCTGTCTGTTATTTCGAGAACGCAGTCGAACGATTAAAAGATGGTTGGAAAAATGCTGAAAAAGTTTCTAGCGATAAAACATCTGTGTACAAAGATGTACACGCTTTTACTACTAATATCATCACGGCAAAGTATGCGGTCTAGAGTTCTCCGTGCATGCAAAGTTCATATTTGTTCGATATAGATACAAATCAATGAAACGTGATAATGACAATGTGTATTTCGAAAAAGTTCCGACTTTATCGAGTTTGCCTGTTGTACGAGGTAGTAGTTAAGAATGGATTGTCGAACAGTTCAGATATTGCAAAGGTTCTTCTTTATAGGTGCAGTTGTAGCCAAATCGCAGGCTTTCGATTGCCAAAATTCCGATGTGTGTGGGGCAGATATTTTCCAAAAGCTGGTACCACTGGTAAGTAACGCATCCTAGAAAACTTCTTAGTTGTATGAATACATATGTGTATAGGATATTCATCTAGCCGCATCGGAATATAGTGAAGAAAAGGCGAAAGTTCTGCGTGAAATTGTCGATTTGACCGATGCGAAATCTCGCGAACTCGAGTAAGGAAAAACTTTTCAGTGGATTTACGAATGATTCATCTTTTTTTGAAGATCGTTTATGAATTGTTTACAATTGGATCGTCTTCTCTTGAACAGCGATGATCTTCGTTTACCACGTGAATTACTGGATTGCTCTGCTGGAGTTATTAGTCAACCAAACATGACACGAGATCTGATTTCTGTTATGCAGCGTATGTGAAAAACTATCTGTGCATGTCTAATAGGTAGAAAGCTTCTTTCAAGTTGCACACTAGAGTATTTTTGAGTATTACAATGAAAACTATTTCGGCATGAAATACTCATTTTCCATCGACTTTTTTTTTTTAATAGAAATTAATAGTCAACATCATGATGTTAATGCTCAATTGACTGAACTTGAACAATCAATTGAAGCGATAGAAAAGGTTAATGTGTTTATCAAAACAAACAAAGACTATAAGGATTTACAAATGAATCTGAAGAATATTCGTGGGATGATGTCCCAAGCGAATGATAGTAATATCGAATTACATCGACATATGACGGCAATAATCGATCATCTGAAAATTCTCGGCTCAACACCTGATCAACTCGAAAAATCTCTACCGATGATGATGGAACTAAATGGTAAAAGGAAAAACTTCATTTCTGATTCGAAGTTTTCTCTTGAATTTAGACGAGAATAACAAATCAAAATTGGCACGTTTGAGCCTACTGAATGAAAAAGTGGAAACGATGAAGAAACAACGCGAAACATTAGTACAAGATCTACGTAAAAAGATTGAAGTTGATGACATTACAAAACTTGTTCTCATGCGACGACAGGAAAATCATAAAGTAAGAATGAAACTCTTTCTTATATATTTTCATTTCTGCTTTCTCAGAGTCTATTTTCTGATCAACTGAAAAAACACGAAGAATTAATAAATATTATCAAACAAAATTGTACTGCTCAAGACAACATTCTTCAATCACTATCAGACGCAAATGCAGATATAGCCGATCTGCGAGCAAATATGATAACGATCTCTGAAAGGTAAGAAACTTGGCCCAGAAGATTTTCCTGGAAAACTCTTGATTACTATTTACATAGTCGTCAACGATTAATTCAAGCATATATTAATTCTTATAAATCATTCAACGATACATTATCCAAAGCAAACGAAGGGATTGAATTCTACAAGAAAGTAATGCACATTTGAATAAATGAATAATAGAGAACAGACGATTCATTACGTTGTAGCAAACAATAAAATTAACATCATTGAATGAACGTCTTATCAGTCTCAAATCAGAGCAAGAATTATCGATTGAATATGATCGAACATATCAAGAGACGAATGTATCACTAGTTTCTGATCGACCACGACTAAAAGATTATTTACCAACAATGAAACCCGTTTCTTGGGGTTCGACAGCGAATCGTTCAGCTTCGAAAGTTGACGAGAATACCTACATCCCATCGCCCATGTCCCATCGAAGTACTAACAATAACTTTTATTCGAATGTAATTCCACCGGCTAACTCGTTCTTTTCAAATATATCAGCACAAACATACACATCTCTGCCGAATTGTAACTCACACGAACTACAATCACCAACTCATTCTGATTTAACATCGATACAGTACGCGCCATTACCACCAACATTGACATCTTCAGTATGTCAGCATTCCATGCCATATCATCGACCACAATTCCATCATTCGTATTCATATGATCAAAATTTTCATGGTCAACTTCCATCGATGTACAATTCTTCAATTTCTCAGCAACAATATCATCCAAATCCAACATTTCAAACTCAACAAACAGTATATTCGTCGCAGCCGGTATCTGTACAGCATCAAATATCTTATCCACCATCGGCGCAAACCACTCCAATACGACAATCAGGTTTATCGCATCCGTCCGTCTACCAGTACCAAAACATCAGTGACTCGAATCGTTCTGCTCAACAATCTGTACCAATGTTACCTTCCAAATTCGATCCGTACCGTCCGCAACCAGTCGGTGCATATGATATTCCATCGCACGCAATGAATCCTCAAGATGTGTATCGTCCAGGTGGTTTTCTAGGTATGAATCAAACACAAGTTCCACCATCAATATACAACAATAATAGTTATGGGCAAAATCAATTTGTGCAATACATTCCTTTCCCTCCTTCTTCTTCTTCCTCGACTGCACCAATTTCTTCAACCTTTTCTAATTTATCAATAAACTAACGTTTGAATGATTTCAAGTTACACATTCATATTCACTATCGGATATAGTTGCCTGTCTTTAAACTTTGCTCGAAGTCAAATGCGAATTCGGAATGTAACGAGGAATGTATTGAGATATGCTTTCGGTAACTAAATTTCTTCTGTAAAAAGATTTCATCGGTATTTAATTGGAATTTCCATTTCATGGGGAGTATGAAATGTATCTCTGTACACATTTTCAAGTATTTATTCTTATTTTATACGTAGAGAAACTATGCATTGATTATTAATAGCGAAATACTGCTATGCCACATGGATTTGAGATGAGTTTTAATTGACATATTTGCTCGGATGGCTGTGGGAAAGAATACTAGACTGAATCTTGTGATAAGTTAGGTTGAAGGGACAACATTCTTTCGGTAAACATCGTCATTGTGTTTTTGTCAAACGGAAGTCATTCATTAAACTTCGATCAATTTCTACGCTGATATTTAACTTCTTGCATTCATTTTTTATTTCATTCCATTGATAATAATATCCTCGTACAGCTTCGTGTTCTCTCGTGAAAAATCGTAATTCCAGTAACGAATTAGAACTTCTTAAACTTAATATTAGCACGTTCAGTGAAATATGGAACACTAATCTCGGTTGTTTGATAATTGATATGTGAATAATTGAAGAAGTTTTTGCGTAACATTCGAATAATCTGACTTCTAACACATCCGTAGTTGAATTTATAATCGGCAGAATATGCAAATATAAACCCAATTGTCGTAATTGATCAGGATAAACCTGTTTCTGTTTTAACTCTGACTGACTAATCGATGAAGGGTTTACCATTGACAACGTCTGTTGCTCCTTGAATAACGAGAAAAAAAAAGAACAAGGTTCTTCTTTCTCTAGTTTATCAAGACCGACTTGATCAACAACCTGAATGGTAGAATTCCCATTCGAAATCGAAACAAATTCTTCTGCGTTAAAGCACGAAATTTTCAAAGGCAGATCACATAGAGAAAGTAAACGTCTCATACATGTCCGCAGTTTCCATTCTTGGGCAGTAGTCAAGCGAATATCCGGTTCAATCAAACAAATTTTCAGCCAAGTATTGAGCGAATGCGGCTGAACAGATCGATTAGTATTTGCATTTATATCAGATATAACCGAATACCATGACGAACTCGTTTGCGTAGCAACGGTCGTATTCGATAAATCATGCAGTGTCATAGTCATGTCATCATCATCATCATCAATATTATCAGTTTCAATCGATGGTATACTCATCGTTTGCGATACGTAGAAGAGAAAAAAAAATCTTATTATAAAAATAGAATATTACTACAGCTGCGCCATTTTCTATATAACGACTGGGAAAGTTGTAAATGACACAGACATGACGCAGTTTCGTTTTGTTAACTATTCAGAAGAGATAATAGTAATACTTTTTCATATGTGTCGATTTAATATATACATATAAAGAAAAGTGATCATGTTCGCTTGTCGCCGGTAGGCCTCGTGTTTAAACACACCTTCGATTGGACTGTATTACATGGTCTTTTCTGACGAGGTCTAATTTATATAGTTTCGTCCGAGACGATTCCGTTTTGTTTTTCTCCCTTCTTTCTTTTTTCTCTCCCTTTCTATATATATAAATAAACAATGTACGTACATACAATCCATTTTCATTTCTTTTTCTCGATAAAATAACTAAAACACAAATTCATTCCACGATATAGAAGGATTTTACTTTTGAATTAATTCGGACAGCATGGCACTCAATATTGCTCACATACTGCAAGATGATTTAATTGCTCCGATGGTCAAAAAAACAGCCTATGGATTGGCAACAACGTGTATACTTGGAGCAGCAGTGTATGTTGGATATCGTGTCGCAGCACCTGAAAAACACCGGATCCGGCACCACCGGCATCCTGAACTCAATGATCAGGTATGTTAATTGAAAAGAATTTATACCAACTAAATACAATGACGTCAGTAATTACCATCTGCGGATGCGAAAAATCTGTTACATTTTTCGTTCGAATAATATTATTGATTCGAGCAATAACAATGGAGTTGACGGAATGTGAATGAAATAACTTCGTATGAGAGAGAAATAGGAGCATCGCTTCAACGAGAAAATAAGATATGGGCTTTGTTTTTTTCTTTTTATAATATCATGCGAAAACGATTCATAAGCACTTGAAAGAACATTTAGTAAATAGAAAATACGTACACAAATTCTTAGGTTGTGAAAGGAGTAGAACTATTGGAAACAATCATATTTTCTCTTTTTTCTGAGTAAATTAATGCTTGTCAACCTTTCGAGTGCTGTGTTTGCATAACCTATGATTCGTAAAAACGAAGCGAAAAAAGAACGCACGTCTACGTTGCAAATTATAAGTCTATCGTATGTTGAATTTGCGTCAAAAATGTCTGTTTGCTTTGTGCAACTCTCTCTCTCGATGCAATCAATCTAAAAGACATGAAATTTATGCATAAAATTACTAGGAGTTCGTGTAAATAATGTACCTTGCTGTCGAGCGAGTCAATGGGTTGTTTTCGTTTCTATCCACTGGATGTAAATGTGGGTGTGTCTGAAAAGCCTTGCTTTGATTAGATTGAAAAAGTGATGGATTCACTGAAGATAACTGATGATCAGTTAGTGCATATAATGCACATCCTAGAAGAAGAAATGACTGCTGGTCTCTCGCCAGCTACGCATAAACAGGCAACAGTGAAGATGTTTCCAACCTACGTACGAAATATACCAAACGGAACTGAAGTTGGTAAAGTTCTCGCACTTGATCTTGGTGGAACAAATTTTCGTGTACTTCTCATTGATCTACGTGGTAATGATAAAGTCGAATTAACCTCCAAAATCTTCGTTATTCCACAATCGATTATGATTGGTGATGGTAAATATGTATGTTAATGATTTCATTTCATTTTTTAGTACAAAATGAAATTCCGTCTTGAATTTAGTTATTTCGTCATTTGGCTGAATGTTTGTATGAATTTATGCTGAAAGAAAATTTGATACACACAGGTTTATGTTATCCGTTAGGTATGGATAAATACATTCTGATATAGATAGATATATTTCAGAGATTTCCTAGGCTTCACATTCTCATTTCCGTGCAAGCAAGAGGGCCTTGCTTCCGCTCGATTAACAGGCTGGACGAAAGGTTTTAGTTGCGCGGGTGTTGTTAACCAGGATGTAGTGAAACTTTTACAGGATGCAATTAACGAAAAGGTTTGATTTCGAGATATTACTTATAACTCTGTTCGTATCAATGGTGTGCTTTTGTTTAGGGTATCAATGCAAAATGTGTTGCTTTAGTCAACGATACTGTTGGCACATTGATGGCTTGTGCCTACAAAGATCCATCGACAGCAATTGGACTTATCTTAGGAACAGGAACAAATGCGTGCTATATTGAAAGCTTAGATAAAGTGGGCACATGGGATGGGGACTATGACGAACCCAAACAAGTTATTATCAATATGGAGTGGGGGGCATTTGGTGATAATGACCGTTTAAATCTTATCCGAACGAAATACGATGAAGAAGTTGATCTGTCATCAATCAATCCGGGCAAACAAATGTAAACAGTTTTGTGTGTTACGATGTAAATACATGCTTCTTTGTTTTTCGTTTAGCTTCGAAAAAATGATTTCAGGAATGTACATGGGTGAAATTGTGCGTCTAATTATACTTGACCTACTTCAACAGGAATTACTTTTTCTGGGTCATCGGGATACGTATGGAGATTACAAAACTCCATTATATGATCGCGGTGGTTTCTATACTAAATTCGTCTCGACAGTGGAAACCGATGAAGGTAGGATAATCCGGTTTTATGTATTGTCTTTTTTAAAATATCTATACGATTCTGTTAAAAAGGTATTAAGTTTTCGAATACGCGACGAGTACTGGAAGATATTGGTATTCGTAATCCTACTTATGATGATTGCGCTATTGTTCAACATATATGCCGGCAAGTTTCGAAACGTGCTGCTCGATTGGCTGGTGCCGGTACGTATTTGACACTTTCGGGTCGTTGCTGAATATTTCTATCTTGAAACCTTAGGTCTTGCTGTTCTTATCAATCGAATTGGAAAGAGTGAGGTAACAGTTGGTGTTGATGGTTCACTTTATCGATATCATCCGCGCTTCAAACGCAATATGGAACGGTGCATGGAAGCCTTAGTTCATAAAGACATTAAAGTAAGTCCGAGAGAAGAATTCCATCTCAGTATCTCTATAGAAATTCGAATCTGTCTACATCTAAAATTGTGAAATTCTCTTTTAAAAAACCAAAACCATCAATCTCTTTAGTTCAAAACAAAAACTGTTGACGAAGCGAGTGGTATCGGTGCTGCCGTAACAGTTGCAGCTGAATGTCGTCTATTTCCGTTGAAACAGACTGACAAGAGTATAATTAGTTGATTGTTGTATAGAATTTGTTCTTTATTACGCTGCATGTATATAGTTAAATTTGTTACTTAATAATATACAATAAATTCGTACATTTAACAAATCATTCTCTCTTCTTTTTCTTTGCAGTTCCAATTAACACTATCGGATGACGGTAAGCCATTCGGAAATGTTCATTAGACGATCGTTGATATCACTTCTCGTTTTGTAATCACTTTTAGGTAGTGGCAAAGGTGCTGCTATGGTTGCTTGTGTGGCCGATAGATCACTCATGACCGCGTCTGTATTTCGAGACGAAGAAACAGCTGATTATGAGAAAGTGATTTAATCATACAAATGAGAAGATCCTTTGTTTCTTATCGTGGAATTTGAATACATTTGTTTCGTGTTTTATTATTTTACGTTGCTTTTAATCAGAACTGGAAGCATTTTGAATCTATTTTCTTTCGTTTTATACATATACCGTTTTGTCTGTCATATGTGACATGAACTATTTTTCTGCGCCGTTGTTTTGAAAAAAAAAACAATAAATATCAGGAGAAAATATCAAAACAAACAATGAGGATTCTTGTCAACTGATTTGTTTGTACAGACGAAACATTTCGCTTGTGCTTTTATTCGAAAACAAAACAATTCGAAAACGTCGGACTTCATCGCCGGATTCGTTTCTTCTTTGATGCTGTTTGAATTCCACCATTTTTACCTAGTTTTACATGTGAACGTCGTTGTTTGGTCTTAGGGTGACGACCTTTTTTCATCGAACTTGGTGCTTTCATATTTTGTAGTAAAGACATCTTCTTTGATAATGGTGTTTTACTCCTGAAAATATACAATCGATTAAGAAAAAACAAGAAATCATGTTTTTTCGCTTCATACTTCGGTTTCTTCGCCGATGAAGAGTCATGATTTTCTTCACCCTAATGTACAGAAATTGTTGTAAAAATTAACGAGGACAAGAAAGAAATCTACTTGTTCGTTGAAATCGTGGTCATTCGCTTGATTATGACCCATGGATAGACCATTATTTGAAACTAATTCATCACTGATCTCTGCTATTTCTATCGTATGATTTTTCAGTTCGATAGTTCGTTTTTTTGTATTGTTTTCAACTGTATCGAGTAAACCTAATGCTTCATGTCGTTTTTTCATCTCATCACGACGCTAAATATCGAACAATGCATAGATGTCAATGGTTTCGTTGCAGAACATTACCTTTTGTCGAAGATTTTTTAAATCCGTCTTAATTTCATCCTCCAGATCCTTCTGTGCGCGTTCACGACGTTCCTGTTTACGTTTTTGAAAACCTTTTAAATAGTCTCTGAAAGCAAAAGATACTAGTGACCATTTTGTTGGAGGCAAAGTCGCTTACTTTCGAGCTTGTTCATCAAATATTAGTTGTGTTTTAGTTTGACGATTCTTCTTCGATCGACGTTGTGTAAGAAATGTAGGTGTGCCTTCTTCGCCATCCATAACTTCTCTAAAAGTAATACGTTCAAATCGTGAAATGTGTCATTTCGTACTGATCTTTCATCGCACGATTTTGATTGGCCACCGAGTATCGACCAATCCGTGTGAACTAAAACTAATTTTTCACAATTTAATTTTTCCTATTTTAAAAGCGAATATTCTCGAATGTTTTTTTCCGACGTAACTCTTCACAATTTCATTAATTTAAATCCATTTTTTACCGAATTTGTCATCCATATGGGGAAGCAAACATATATCTTTTTTTCATTTAACAGACAGGGATCGACCGTTGGCGCGTGTGTCCGTTAATTAGAAACAAAACAACGATTTTCTCTCTTTCGTCTGTGTTCATTTCAATTCTAGATGTTCGTTGATTGTCACTAGAAAAATCCAAGTTAAACACGATGGCAAACACGACTGATGATTTCGATTTCGATCTTTCACAACTCGATGATACATTGATCAGTGAGAATCAAAAGCAGAATTTGATTGATTATATCAATCAACTGAAAACTCAAAAACGTTCGATCAATGATGAGTTTGATCAATTCAAATCGTCAACAGGTAGTAGAACTAAAATTTAAAAAATACATTGATTCCTTTTTTTTGCAACTTTATTATTTTTTGAACTAAGCGAACGAACGAACGAACGAACTAAATTTCTTGTGCATTTCGTTTTTTCTTCTCTCTTTTTTTTTGTCCTTTGTGTAATCGTCTATTCTCAAATCAATGTTCAATATCAAATCTCATCGAAGTAAGTACCATTGCATGTGGCTAATGCTGAAATGCTACTTTTTAACATGAATGCCTTTCACATTCCAAATCGGATTCGTTTTTTCGTCAAGGTACGATCAAACGACGACGTACAAAGCGACAACTCGTCTCAAATTCTGTATCATTGCCCTTGATAAATCCTAATCAAGCAAGTAATTTGCAACCAATGCTTGAAACATTGATTTACATCGTGCACGAGATTAATCTTGAGCAAGTCAAGTTAACTACAACAATCAATCAATTGATCAAACGTATCAATCAAAATGAATTATATTTAAATCAATTGAATGCCAATATTGAAACATTGCACGAACAGTTTTATGTAAGACAACAAAATGGTTCCGTTTTTTCGACAGACGAATTCCATTCTTGATATAGACAAAACAATATTCCGAATTGGAATTAGATCCCATTGAAGTACCGAAATCGTCATCGTCATTTATTGAAGACAGTTGTCAACAACCGATCGATATGAGCATGACCGGAAATTTTGCATTAGAAAATCCAGCTAAAACTAATGGAAAAGCTACATCGACTAAGGTTTGTGGTAATTTGGATCATGCTGAATGTTAACTAATGTATTTTTAGGAATATATTGAACTTGGTGATCCATCGACTGGCTTGTCACGTCTTGTTTTAAAACGAAAATACGATCAAGTCCGTCGTCGTACTGAACTCGCTTATATTCATGGAGAAAAGCGTGCTATCGGTCGATTGCTAACATTTCTAATTCGACAATTCTTTTCAAACGAAGAATTACGTAATGCTTCGTTGGATGGTCGTGTGCGTAACACTCAAGCACTAGCTGAAGATCGAATGCGTATCATTGACAAGCATTTACATACTATATTTGGCATCGATTACAATTTGTATCGTATAACAAAAGATTGTGCTGAACAAGTTAATGTCGTTTGTCGCCATGCACGAAATCCAAAGAATTTCTATGATAATCACAAGAATACTAGTGGTAAAATTGAAGTACAGACGGTGACGATGAATGAAACGGATATTGTGGAAGATAACCAATTAGATGAATATGAATCGTTTCAAGAAGAATTGTTTATTCAAGCAAATGGTGAATTGCATGTTTAATCTTATGCTTGTTATCTCATGTCCGATGCGTTTTTAGGTTTACCATACAAATTAGATTCATCATCGGACATTTAACATAAACTCAAAAGAATTTCTTTGACATAGATAAATCTTTTCATCTTTATTAATTCTTTCCATCTATCAGTTTCCTTGTTTGATTTTTCTCTCTATGTGTGCGCGTGTGACTTGATTCGTAAAGTAGATATTAACCTTGCATGATTAGTATGCGTTCGTTCGTTCATTCGCTCGCTCAGACATTGTCTTCTTTATATTTCATGTTGAGCTTGTTCGATGATTCCATTTGATTTATTTAGAGCAACGATTTCATGAACTAGCACGTGAATATGATACTGTTCGTAGTGAAGTGGTCAAACAGCGAGAAATCGAAAGTCAACTGCGTAACGAAAATGAACAAATACGTAAGTTGCGCATTCGCAAGGTCCACTATACCATGATTATCCTTCTCTGATAGAGAAAATATCGGATGAATTTCAACGACAGTTAACAGCTGTACAAGAAAATGGACAACAATCTCATGCGAAACTAGTCTGTTAAAAGAGAAGTGTTCGTGCTTTGCACATGTTAATCGTGTACTATTTTAGGAATCACTGTCTGAACAAGTTCGACAATTGTCAACTGAACGAGAACATCTGAGAAATACAATCAACGAAAAAGAAAAAGATATTTACGAATTCCAAAGTAGGCCGATGTTTCTTCAACTGAACAAAACGAATGTTAAACACTCGAATCGTTGTCTCATTTCTAGAACAACGCGAAGCTTTAGAAGAAGAAAATCGTCAAGTACATAACACAAACAATGCTACAATTGAGCGTTTACAAGCACTGGAAACAACTACATCCCAACTTCAAGTAAAAAGAATACACGAGCAGCACATAATTCTTAGTTGACAAATATGATTGTATTTCATTCAGAGCTTGGAACTATTGTGGAACAAAGAGCGTCAATTGTATACTGAACAATTGCAAGCGTTAGAACAATCGTTGATAGAAAGCAAAAAATTGGCTATCGATCAACAAACGCAAATCATGCAACTGACTGTACAATTAGAATCGACCGAAGGACAATCGCAAGCACAAGTTTGTCTTTTTGTATTTCGAAAGTGCAAGAGATTTGAAGATCTTTTGTACAGAAACGTTCATTGGATATTGGTCTTGATGAAAAGAATGAAGCAATACTGAATCTTGATCGACAATTGCGAGAGAAAGCACAACGGATCGAACAGGTATCGTTATCATGTTTTATATTTAGACGAATGATTGAACGTAGTTGTGAATCGTCGCATTTATCGTTTATTTAGCTTCAAACTGACCTCCAACGAACGATACGTCAGATGGAAAATCAACAAATTACATCAAATAAAACCATACAGTCGCTTAAAGTTTGTCCCATGATTCTTTCATCGCAAAAAAAGAAAAAGAAAAAATTAACTTGTTTCTTCTTAATAGACTCAGATTGACGAATTAGGAAAGAAGAACTCTGTTATGAACGAAAAATATGATGAACAAAGTCAATTGTTAGTGAAAGTAACGTCTGGTTAGTTGGTGTTTTGATCGGGAATACATATATAAATATTAGTGTGATTGTTAATGTAGAACGTGATGTGATCAAAGGGGAAATGAAGACATTGAATGAAATGTTCGAAAAGCAGTCAACGGAGAATGGTAAGTGTTGCAAACATCTTAGCCATTAATAATGGTTGTCGCAGCGGTTGTCGTAGATGAAGTGGTAGGTTGAGTTGCAGGACCTGATCCGGGTCGGAATGGACTCAATGACGAAACTAAACGAAAAAATAGTAAACAAATCGTTTTCACTGAATAGAATTCAGATCTTACGGATGGCTGAAACGAATGTGATGCGTAGAGTTCGGAGTGCCGATGCGATATAGCTCGGTGAACCATCTTTGATTAAGGGAACATTGTTAAAAGCAAAGTTTCCTGGAGGAAGATTGGTGAGACAGCTTTGGATATTATTGCCAATCTTTGTCTGACAGCCATAGAGACAATCACTGTCATACGAAAAGACCATTCCAATGATATACGTAAGGATGTTAGATGCACGAGTGTTTCTTTCCAAAGCGCTAAAAACGCAGATTTGCTTTTATGCCATTGTTTTTAGAAGGTTAGCTTTATCACTTACGAACGTTTTCTCTTACTATCAGCTGTATAAGCAAGAGTAACGCTAGTAACAGTTACATCCTTAGCCAATGGAGATACTAAGCATTGGCGTAACTAAATTAGATACCATACAAAGATATTTTCTTCGAAAAAACTGAGACCGAGAGAAACTTACGACTTGACGAACTTGTTCTCGGCCAGATGCTCCAAATTGATAGCCGACATATTGATCTAAGGGATCTACTGCAAGTGATTGTCGTTTACGACTGGTGGTTTTAGCTGCTTGAGCATGAAGCCATGATTCCATACTTGTTGCATTAACTAAACATATGTCAGACAACAATCGCACAGAGCGTTAAGAAGAAAGTGTCGATGAGTTGCTTACCTTTACTGATGCCATCTCCTTTGTCAGGCAAATAAGTTGGAATAAGTGCGATAACGACTGTTAAAGCAATGGCGAATAAAATTAGACCTAGACAGCAGAGACCAAGAAGATATGGAAGTGAAGGATTGTTGCCAATTCTATTGAAGAATATTGATTGAAAATAAGTAAGATCACCAGTTGAGAATAGAATGAGACTCACCCTCGTGCACTGTCTTTTTCAGAACGCATTTTCAATTTGAAACCTAACTCTTGTCGTTCACTAACAATACTTCAGGCACTACTGTACACCGACTTGCTTTGATATTGTTTGAGTGCCTGAATAAAGAAAACTAATTCATTTATATAGAGACTAATTTTGTTCTAACAAGCGTAGCTATTTCTCCAGTGACTTCAGAGAAGAATTTCTCTCTTTCCAACGTTTCCCTGTTGCTTGTTTACATATATATAAGAAAATTGAAATTCTAGCATTGCAAATAGACCTACACTTAACACGCAGTTATTTTTCTTCTATGCTAATTTGCTGCTATAACGAGTGTTTACTGAACGACGATGGGTATCTTCAAGGTGTATCGATACCTATTTTTCTTATGGTCTATTATTGAATTTCAGTTTTCCATTAAGAAATGTTTTTCGTGTATGAAAGAGACGTTTTCGATTGTCAGAGGACATGACAACAATTGTAGGGAGTACCGGACCATTTCAATATCTATCATTCAATCTAAATTTCTATGATATTAATATCTGCATAGCATAGACGTCACCCAAAGAAATATACATCTATATATGCGTCGTTAAAGTCATGAAAGTGTTTTCGGAACTTCGGTCCAATAACTTTTTCTAAGCTTCCGCTTACGATGAATTCGAATTGAGATATAGTTGTTCGAAAATTCATCAACATTCATAGATAGTATACAGTTAGATGTAACAAGTATATTCTTCTGTATGCCGATAAGTGAAAGTGTGCAACGATTATAAGTATTTATTGGAGATCCATGACCTCCTAAGCGTTCGTACTTCGTTACGTGTCGATTCTACTTGATAATCAATCGAATTTAAAATGAGGAAATATTCACGTTTGAAAAGAACGTTCTTGTTTTTGAAAACATTCAGTTTCTCTGCTTGAAAAAGTGCGAACCGAAGGGCATAAAACTGCGTCATTGATCGAATGGACACAATATTCATATTCATTTAATTTATATAATTAGCATATAAAATTATTCGGAGACTCATGCCTTTGTTGAAATACGTGATGACGAAGACAAGGAAGTGTGCTTAGAATCGGCATAACATCTAACGAAATGAGTAATAACAAAAAAGAAATAACAAAAACTTTTCCCGTGTGATCTATTGTTCATCGTATAATCTACATAAAAATATCATATTGAACATTTGCAAGGAATAAAGCGTGAAAATATTTCTTGATAATTTAGAACAAACCATCCGTCGATTGCAAGACGAATTGGATAATACTACTCAATTACTTGAATCCATTCGTAGTAAAGGTAAGTCATATTTTCATTTAATCATCTTGCTATACATATTATACAGGTGCTGATCTGACTCAATTAACAAATTTTCTTGATGGTACACTCAATCATATCCGTTCAACTGATTCATCAACATCGACGTCATCACCCGCACCAACCGGAACGACAGTAAGCACATTTAGCTATGGAGAACAAGCAGGCTTTGTTTTTTGTTTCGTCCGCTAGACCTGTCCAGAATGTCGGCAGTTGAAGAGCGCGCTTGTATTGGAGTTAACTGGCAAGGAACGTTTTCGATTTGGTTATGAGCAACTTTCATCCGTACGTAGAGATTACTTTGATAAAAAAAACACATAAACATAATCGATTGTTTTAGATGGTCAAAGAAGCAGCTCCGATCCTCCGACGACAAAAACAAGACTACGAAGCGTCATTTGAAGTTATCGCTAAATTGACAAGTGAACTAAACGATGCGAGAAAAGTAAAACGAATTAAACTGCGAAACCACTTCATACCTTTCTGTTATCAAGGAATTGTCCGATTTACATCAGTTATCTGGAGAAAGTATTGAAAACTATCAATATATTCAACGAGAAAATCAATTCTTGAACAATGATAACAAATCTTTATCTACAAAGGTAATACTAACATGAACAGTTGAGCAAAATCTTATATCTGCATTCTAGATTCAAGTTCTTCTGTCTGAAATTGAAGAATTGCGCACTGGTAAACGCTTACCGGAACGTGAAATATCACCGGAATTCGATCCTAATCAACAAGTGCCGCTTACATTTCGGTAGAATTTCACTACTTTCTCTCATAGAGACATTCTTCTTTCGCTTTGTAAAATAGAAATGTCGTTGAACTTCAACATGTTAATCAAAAATTAGATAAATTAGTTCGCGAAATGCGTGCACAAACGAATGCCGATGATGAAGATCTTAATCGAACGAGATTTGACGAACTCAAAAAGGAACATCAGCAACAACAAGACAAGTTAAAAGAAACACGAAATCAACTAGACGCTCTAGAAACTCAAGTTCGTCGAATTCGAAACGAGAAAAGCAACTAATCTTTCATTCTAGATGGCATCACTTATACAAGAACGAGATTTCCTTCGTTTATTAGTATCACGTTCATCGTCGTCGCAATCCGTAAGATTCAAATCTATTCTTATAAGTCCAAATAAATAGGGAATTTGTGATTTAGACATCATCAAATAATCCATCGGTTGATATTCATCAATTGGAAAATCTTCGCGATCAAGTTAATCGTCTTCAAGAAAAAAACGACACTTTAACTAAAAAGAATACACAATTAATCAATGAAAAGGAAGATCTTACCAGGTACATTGACTTCCATTTCATTTCCTTATTATCCTCATTGTCTTTATTCTAGAACGTCGAATGAGAAGATTCGGTCAGTTCAATATGAACTCTTAACAGCCCGTACAGAAGTTGAACAAACGACTGAAAAAGTATGTTTAGCGTTTTCTTTTTTCACAGCAAAAGATGTTTTATGAATGTGTTCGTAGTTAAATGTAATCAATGATGAACAAGCAACGAATCGATTGACTATAGCTTCACTTCGAACGGAAATTAATGGTTGGCAAGAACGGCATAATATGGTCGTACAGATCCGAAATAAACAAGAACAGCAATATTTCAATGTTTTGACGGTATGAAAAGAGTTGTTCTGAATGAAATCACTTTAAAATGTCGGTGAACTCGGTGTTTTTCAGGAATTGCGTCAATTGAAAGATGAAAAAGCGTCATTGGAATGTCGTTTAGCTGCGTTGGAAAACGAACGTAAATTTGACAATATCAAATGCGAACAATTAGAAAATGAATGCATGTTATTAAAGAGTGAAATTAATAAAAATGAACAGATTCAGCCAATGATTGAAAAACTTCAAGTAAAAACTTCTTTTGAATGTCGATGAAATCGAAGAACCAAACGCTTCTTTTTAGAATTTAGCAGAATTCACGAAAGAGAAAACGAAAGCCATGTTTGAAGCGAAATTAAATGACCTAACTGCTCAAAATGAACAGCTACGTCAACGAATCGAACAAAACGAACGTGAAAAAGAATTAGCAGAACGTGCACATCAATCACGTTTAGATGAAATTTCACAAAATCTTCAACAAGAGAAAGCCAACAGTTCAGACACACGAACGAAATTTCTTGCAGAAAAGGAAAAAGCTGAACAATTACAACGACAAGTAGAGTATTTGTCTGAGAATTTTCCCACTGGATATATGGATTGTGTTCTAGTTGAATGAAATCGAGTTGAAAGCAAATGCGAACACAAATCCGAAGACTGGTAGGATGAACGAAGCTTTAAAAACGACCCACTCTCATCTTTCGTTTCCGCAGATTTCGAACAACAATTGGGAGATTATGAGAAAGAAATCAAAATGCTTCGAGTGAAACTCGATGCAGCCAATAATGAATTAGAGTGTAAGTTCATCTCAATAGACAACGGTACTTGATTTTCGTATGTATTTTTGTTCAGTGAAACAAACATTAATCCAATCGAATATTGATAATGCTAATCAATTGAATGTCAATGAACAAAGAGCAACTGAAGAATTGGAGAAACTCAAACAAGTAAAGTTTTTTCGTCGAGAAAATCTGTAATTAACTGTATTTCTTCACTTAGGCCCACACGCAAAAGTCATACGATTATGAAAGTGAAATAGAACGACTCAAACAAGGTAAAAGAGAATTATTTGGATTCGGAATGAAGAGTCTTGTGTTTGGTTTTCAGAAATTCTCAATCATCAATCATTGGTCAATCAACACGAAGAAAGTATTCGTTCGTTAAATGAGCAAATCCAAATGACTAATGAACAACACCAAACTGAAGTAAGAGAAATCTTTTTGTTTGAAAGTTTCATTCATCTTTCATTTCAGTTAATCCAATCTAATGAACGATATGATGAGATTCTCAACGAAAAGAATCAAGCTCTACAACAGCTGCAAAGTGTTGAACAAACATTGACTGAAAATGAACAACTGAAAGAGAAACTAAATGAGGTAATACGGAATAGTTTGAGATTGTGAACAAACATGTTTCTTTTATTCAGTTGGAAGCAACACTTGAGCAACAACAAATCAATTATAATGATATGGAACAACGCTTGAACGAACTCCTTCAACAAATAGCAAATCTCCAAAATGAAAATGAACGACTGATTGGACAGATTCAACAATATGATACAACAATTCTACAAAAAGATGATATGCTCAAAGCTCAACAGGATTTGGTACAACAAGTGGAAGAACGCTATGCGCAATTGGAAGAGAAACACAAGGAACAACACACGCTAATGATGAAGGTATGCCATATGAATCTATTCACTAAAAATACTAATCTGTTCATGATTTATTTCTAGCTATCAACACATTTGGCTGCGAAAGAAAGTGAATCAATGGCTGCAACAACCGACTCATCAGTGAATGAAACATGGAATAGTATATTAGCAACGAATAAGTAAGCAAATTTCTCAGTGAAATTCGAATTTCATTTTTGTTCGATAGTTACGTTCGTGTTGAAAATGCGCGTTTGATTGAAGATGTCGAACGTATTCGCATGGAAAATGCTCATCTCACAGAACGCAGTAATACATTAGAACAAAACTATATCAATGACCAGCAAGTTATCGAAGAGCTCACCTTGAAAAATCAATCATTGCAAACATTACAAGATCGATTTGATAATGATCAACAGCAGATCAGCGAATTACAATCGAAATGTGAACTGTATGAACAAGATAAACAAAAGAGTCAGCAAGAACATCAAGCTTTTCAAACGAAGATTGAACAATTGAACCAACAGAATCAATTGTTTAATAATCAGATTAAACAAGCAGAAGACAAAGCACGTGCGAAAGACGAACAATTAACTGTTAAAACAGCTGAGATGTAAGCGAAAAGATGTTTCCAATTGGTAAAATCGTCTTTCTATGCTTCATAGAGAACGACAAGCCCGAGAAACAGAAGATCTCAAAGCGAACATTAAAAAACTGGAAAGCGAAAATCAAGAACTGAAGCAAATGACTACTAAAGTTTGTTATTGATCTTTGAATTGCTAAAATCTAGCTTCGAATAATTTCTTCTATCCATATTAGTTGAGAAATATTGCCCTTAAATACAAGAACGCTAATGCAGCCGCTCCAGCGCCAATTCCAACTCCAACCCCGGCCATTACCACACCCACAACATCGGCGGATACAGATGATTTGTTATCGACAGGACCAGCCGACGCTGCCCCTGCAGCTGCAGCAACAGCCGAAGCCAATAAAGTAGTTTGATGAGAAAGAAAAAACTAAGATGAAAACGGTTGTGTTTCATTTAGAATCGACCGTTACCTGGTGATCTGACCGAAAAAATGACTAAACTCCGCGAAGCACTTGTGGCAGCACGAACTCGAATGGCAGCACAACAAAGTCGTATAACTCAATTGACAATTGACCTAGCAAACGCCAAACAATCTCGTATATCTGCTGATTTGACAGGTTCGATTTCATTCAGACATGTTTCTACTTTTGAACAAATTCGATTTCTTTTCTAGAAGTTCACAGTCTTGTTGATAGCATTCGACAAACATACGAATACGAGATCAATGATCTCAAAAATATCATTCAATTATTTGATAATACAGATTCCAATGAACATATGGCAGAAATTGTACGATTGCGAAAAAGAGTTGATGAATTATTAGCAAATAAGGTTAGTGGTCACTAAGTGAATGTGATATTGAACAGACGTACGGTTTATTTTTCTAGCCAGCACCATCATCATCTGCTGTTGCATCGTCGACTGCCAAGCAGTCGGAAGATGTTACACCAAAGCCTGCACGTCCACAAGCAATTGCTGCTCCGATGACTCAGTAGGTTCTCAATGGGATTTCTATAGTTAACTATGGTTGTGAAATCGATAGGGATCCGCCAGCAATCTCTCGTGTTGCTCCGATGGCTCCAGCAACTGGCCGTCAAATTGGCGTTGCCATTCCAATGACAGCGCCCGTAACATCTGCTGTCACTACTGCACCCATGTGGACCACTGCTGCCTCATCAGAAACGATTAGTACTCGTATGTGTTTTAAAAATCCTTTCCAATGATATACTGCTAATTTGGGTTTTCCTCTCACGAATGAAATAGAAGCTACAACTCCTGTGGATCATCCTACAACACAAATATCCACACCCGCTGGCGTTAATCTGTTGATGAAACGTACACGAACTGATGATAGTGAACACAAGTAAATCTGTGAAAACAACGACAATATAAAGAAATACATTCTTGATTTTCAGATCTACGGAGTCAATTTTAAAGCGACCTAAACCAGAAACAGAGGTGAGCACACAATTTTATATACTATTTCTACTAGAAAGAAACATGAATATGAGCAATGGCCTACATTCCTATTTTTGTGCAGACTTCGCTGTTGATTGCGCATGTTGAACCACAAGTACGTGAGCACCAACACCAACAGCAAACTCCTGTTCAAGTAAATCTTTGTTTCGATGCGATTGATTTAAAACTATGTTTATATATTAGGACCAACATACATCTGCCCAAGAAATTAGGGAGTCAAGTAAGTGACTCTATGATTAAAACTGACGCAAAATCGTTGGCTTTTATTTTTGTTAGACGCTATGGAACTCTCAAGAACAGATGTGGTAAAAATTTCGACTTGAAATCGGTTAGAATAATCATAAATATGTCTTCTAGACACCAATTGATACTGAGGCAATCGCAAGTTCTATGGAAGAACACATGCCAACTGATTCATGTAAGACATCGAATTGATTGTGATCAGTGGCATTTTCTTATCAATTTGTTTTTCTCTAGCAGCTGAAATAGATTCTCGATTGAATACTCCACCTGCAAGTGTTGTTGGACCTAATGAAATAAGTACAGCAGCTACAACAACTACAACCGAGTCGAGTAGTATTCCGACTACGGCTGAACAAATGAATGATCAACGTCGTGAAATTTCACCCATCGTCTATGATGTTCACACTATTTCAACTATTGGCGGTAATAGCATACCTCCTGTCAATCGCGGTGGCATAGGTCGTCAGCGTCCGTTTACCAGTGGTACGTCATCGAAGAACTCTATAAGCAAAGTATATATTTATTTCTGCTTTTTCAGTTCCAGGCATGCGTCGACCATGGTCAGCACGCGGCGGTATCGGCGGTGGAAGAGGCTTTGGTGGACGAGGAACTGGTGGTCCGGGCGGTGTTGGCCCGTCAGCTCGTCAATAGACATGAATGTTTATCTTCCTTTCTTCTTTATGTGATTCTGTTATTATGCTAAGTGTATAATCTGTAGTATGTGTATTTACAATCTTTTTCTCTCATTTATTATTTGTTCACTTGGATTTGTCTATATCAGCGTAAAACTAAGATGTTCTACATTGGAATAAAAATTATGTCGAATCTAAATTCTCGGACACAAGCAATCAGTAGCAATGCATCCTATGTCGGTATTGGCGAGGAACAATATCAGCTGCGATAGCTACAATGACTGCATTCTCCCTAGCAATGAACAGAAAAACAATCATATACTACTACTTCATGTATTTTGTTTTTGAATGTAGAGAGAAACAGAAAAGAAAAGAAATAATAAAGGAAAAACGGACAGGATAGGTATGATCAAATTAAACAGACGACTAGGAAACTTATATTTGATGTCGTCTAATGATAATAGAAGGATAGTCTAATGTTTTGCTCCAGTGGCATCATCGTATTTTGAACCAGGAAAGTCTTCATGTCCAATCAGATGGTATGGAGGTGTGGTCAAAGCACCTGCTCTCTTTACAACTACTGTTCGTAAGTAGACATATGCTAGTAGGGCACTGATAATTCCACCTGCAAGTACTTTGTTGTAATAAGCTTGCCGTTGTCCATTGATTTCTTGCCAGCTGCCTTGTGGTTTTGGTAACCAATCGAGCGTAGCTTTGTGCTGCCATAAACGTTCATAGAGCGTTTTATAAGCATCATGATGACCATGATGATGATCAACTTCATGATGACCACCGTGTTGTACTTCATGGCTCTTATGACGGCAGGATTCGATCATAGGCAGATTATTTGTAATCGTTGCACGCTTGACAACATTGACGACACTTGGCTTTACGACGCGCGCCAACATGTTGTATTCCGATAGTAACTGAAGTAGAGATATCTGAAACAAAGGTGAAAGAAACGAATCAGGGAAAGTTTTTTTTTTTCCATTTCTAATATTATGATGTCTTGTTTTCATTTTTGATTCCCTGTAAACAATATGGTGTTACTTAAACCAATCAAATCAAACGAGCGGCATATAGAGAGCGCTATGTACATTTCTATTTACTTGTTTATTCCTGTGGCTTGCTCTCGACCATGTAGTTTTCTTTTCATCCATCTTTTACTCGAACTTGTGGCGATCTCTATCATTGACTGTCGAGAGACAGAGAGGAAGAATTTATTACCATTGTAGAAGAATTTCATCAGAATTCGATCTGTGTTTTTTTAAAATTGTCTTTCGATTGAGTTTTTAAACTCACAACGATTGTTTCGTTGATTCTGCCGATGACATTTGTCAGTTGCATGTGCATACGCCTATTTTTTTCCTACGATCGCAACTATTTCTTTTTTCTGTCGCCTACATAAGTCATATGTATGTTTAATCTTCTAGGTGTTCTCATTTTACGATCGATTCTCCGGAGATAAATCTTTCAATGCTTTAATACTCCCAAATATATCATGGCAGTTACGAGCACCAGTCAACGACGTTTATTTAAAGATTTACAAAAAATCCGTTCCGAAGAATTACCAGGTTTGTGTCATTACCATTCGACAAAGCAATTACATATGACTTGATTTTCAGGTATCAATGCAATACCTATTGATGAGGATATGCGTGTTTGGAATGCTTTGATTGATGGACCTGTTGACACGTGCTACGAAGATGGATTATTTACGCTAAGAATGGAATTTGCCGGTATTCAAAAGTCAAAAATAAAATGTCAAAGTTTTGTTTTGCTCGTTTCAGATACGTATCCATTAACACCACCTATGGTTCGATTTACTTGTAAAATGTTTCATCCAAATGGTGTGTGAACGTTTCTTTTTCCCTCCGGTTACGTTTCTTAATTACGAATTTCCTTTTTCTTCTTTTCCAGTCTATGCAGATGGTAGTATATGCTTGGATATATTACAACGAAATTGGAGTCCAACCTATGACGTATGTGCTGTGTTGACATCGATACGTTCATTACTGAACGATCCAAATCCAAATTCTCCTGCTAATAATGAGGCGGCAAAGCTATTCGTTGAAAATCGTCGTTTGTATGAAGCAAAAGTTCGTAAATTAGTCGAAGAATCGATCATGGTCGATCAAATTCAAAATGATTTGAAGATCACCGATGATGAGATGACAACTAACGAGAAATCTTCAAGTGAAACAGCATCTAATGAATGAATCATTTTCTTTCATTGTATTTAACAGTCGTTTTGTTTTTGTTATTGAAATCTTTCGTCTTTTCCTTTTCCTTTCATTTATTAATAATGTATAAAAAAAACAAATATTCATTTATTCTAGATGTAAAAAACATGTGCGCGTGCTAATTCAAGCACTGCACGCTCGTTGATTATAAAGATATATCTATTCTTGTGTTCTTTTTCTCTTCTTTTATTATTCTAATCAACGAGATATTACTCCGAATCGAAAATGCCGACTCGTTCAACCTATAATCAACCATTATCGACGTCGTCGAACCATCAGGCAATCAATAATAATAATTCCAATCAAATTTCGAGCACCAATTCAAACGTCGATATCACATCTTACATTGGAAAAGTGTTAACTATCAATCAACATCAAGTTATTGTCGAGGATATTTTAGGACAAGGAGGCTTTGCATTTGTATTTCTTGTACGAGCATTTAATCAGCAACGTTACGCATTGAAACGAATGTATGTTAACAATGACCGAGGTTTAACTGTTTGTCAACGTGAAATCGCCATATTGAAAGAATTTTCTTCACACGCGAATATTGTGAAGTATATCGATTCTTCGATACAACGTTTATCACCGCCTACTCAATCAAGTGTCCAGAAGAAACATATGACGAATAAGAAAGACGATGATGATGATGATGTTGAGGATGATGCTATTTATGAAATTCTTCTACTAACCGAATATTGTTCAAATGGATCGTTAACTGTAAGTTGAACATTGAAACGGTTTTGCATTGAGATCATTGGATTTCTTGTATCCCACGGGAGATTAGTTTACAATGTAGCTGAGCGTTATATTTGTTTTAGAGCCGTTTGAGTGAACAACGCAATAATGGCGTATCGTTAAACGAACGTCAAATTCTTCGCATATTTGCTGATATATGCAATGCCGTTAGTTCATGTCATCATCGTCGTCCACAGCCGATCTTACACCGTGATATCAAATTGGAAAATATTCTTATTGATTCTCATCAATCCTTTGTTCTCTGTGATTTCGGTTCAGCTATTATGCTGCCACCTTCGCCGCAAAATGAGCATCAACAATATCAATCGCAACAGCTGACAACAGTGATAATTCAACAACTAGAAGAAGAAATTCAACGCTACACGACGTTGTCGTATCGTGCGCCAGAAATGATCGATCTGTATAGTCGATTACCAATCACATTGAAAGCAGATATATGGGCCATGGGTTGTTTACTCTATAAGCTTATGTACAACGTCATGCCATTCGGTGATAGCATTCTAGCAATACAAAATGGAACGTTTGTTATACCAGATGATATGGCGCAAACGTATAATCGAGATTTGAATATCTTAGTTCGATACATGTTAGAGACTGATATTAGTAAACGACCCGATATTTGGCAGGTATGTCGAATTGAAAATCTAGTTTTTGCTTTCGTCTGTCATCTCCTGCTGAAAATCGATTAGTATTTGTTTAAATAGCGTCATGTTGTTTCTCAATTCACTTCCGTCTGTAACTATACTTAGTGCAAAGGGAGACAACTATTATTTGTGAAAGATTAAGTTTGTGTTTTCTTTTCTGTTAGGTCGCTTTCATAACGTATAAATTACTTGGCATCGAATGTCCAATTCCAAATCGATGCCAATCGAAAATCCCTGATCTCAGTACAATACCGATGCCATTAACCGAAAGTGAATCACGTCATCAACGCACGATTGCTTTAGCAAATGCTAAACCGACATTAACGAGTACGTCTGATGAAGCATCCACACTTGGCACAGCGGTGAATCCACGTGAACGACCTCGTGGCATGATAGCTCCATCAGGCTCTTTTATTAATTTCACTCAATCCCCACAACGATCGCCGGCAGTTGCCGGGCCACCGCCTCCGCCCCCACCCAAACCTCAACTTCCGCCTCCAATACAAGTAGCAACGCCTACTCGAACGTCGCATCAAAGATCGGGTTCAGCTGCACAATTCATGTTTGACGATGATTTCTCTCAGTTTCCTAACCATGCTCTTAGTCTAACGAATATTCCAAATATGACAGTCACGACACCGAAAACTGCAGCAGCAACACCTGATCTAAACGTATCGCGTGCTCGACCATCACCACCAGCATCTCTATCAGCTGCATCAGGGGTAGTCTTCCAACAGCAATTATTTCCACCACCTCCAGTTACTTCTTCCAGTAATACGCAATTAACATCAACAACTATTGGCCACCACCAACATCGCCGCAGTGCTTCGCAAACGATTAGCCCAATCAATGACCAACCGATTCTTCAACAAGCGAATTCCGTTGAATCGACGGCATCGTTCGAACGACGACATTCAATCGATTCGTCGACTAAGCCAACAGCATCTCAGCCTGAAGTTTTGTTCATAAACGAAGCTTCCGATGATGACGAAGATGATGATGCTGTAGCAACAAACTTGAATAAATTAAAAGTTTACAATCATTCAACAGAAAATGTCAAATCGCGAGAAAGTCTAATTCTAAACGAAGATGATCGTCTATTCGCTAAAACCTATACAATTAATTCACAATTGAAATCTGACGATGAACAAACATCATCATCCTTGTCGGACGAGAACGAAAATATCGATAAAACCAATCAAGTATGTAACGACGCCAATTTTCCTTATTCAAAATATATTTCCATTCGTATTTTAGAAGAACAAGAAAAAAACACAATCGTCACTAACACCACTGCGTTCAAGTCATCATCCATCAACAGATGAAGTAGAAAAACACATGTCATCACCGAGCACAACAAATAAGAATCTAGTTAAACGTTTAATCGAACGTTGCTCTCTTCAACAGCAATCCCAACAAGATGAACTTGCATCATCATCTACTCCAAGCAAACGAAAGGATTCGTTTTCACTTGCCAACGATCATCCTATCTCCATGGGTGACTTTTCCGATAATAAATCGACTTCCGACGATGACGACAATGATGATAATGATGATGAAAATCATTTCAACAATCACAATGTAAATAATGCTGGCTTCGACCAACTGATCAACGAAGATTCTGATGATGATGCCGCTCAGCAAACAATGACTACCAGTAAAAATAATGTTGGTAGTAGTCTCTTCACAACATCTCGACACAAAGAACAACAATACGAACATTTTCAAGATTCGGATGACGACGATAATTATTCAACGACGAAATCATCATCGAGTAAGTGAAACATCGCGACTGACACGTCTGTCATTGTTCGTTTGTCTATTTTCGAAACGTTTTTATAGAAGATATAACTTGGTTTTAAGACTAAAATGAAAAGTAAAGTTTCTCCACTATTCTAATAATTTTTTTTGATTCTTACACTCCTAGCTTTTATTTAATAAAGGCTCGTACTTGACTCAATGTTTGATCAGCAATCTAAACGATAGTTTTCTTTTCATTTGTTCAGATCCAACAACCAAATTGTTCAATCTCTTCTCTACGAATTCCAAAACAAATCCGTCTAATGATACAAAACGTATATTAAATGAGCATAATAATCAAACAAATTCATCGTTTATTGATAATGATAATCCATTTCTTCAAGCACCGTTTCACTTTTCTCATCGTTCTCCAACGCACAAACAGACGGCACCGGCGCCATCTTCATCTATTTCTACTGATACAACTTCTACATCTAGTTTGACAACTTCCTTCGATCCAACAAGTATTGTCATTGGAAAAAGGCTCAGCGCATTCGCTCCGTATCATCGACAAGAACTTCATTCGGGCAATAGTGGTAAATATATTTACTTTTTTTAATTATTATTATTATTTCAAACACCGATGAGGAGCCTAAGAGAAAATGGTTTGTTATTAATTTCAAATTCCGACATGACTTTCATCTTCCGTTCTTTTGTCAACTTGAAAGAAAATAAATATTTGATGTTTGAAATCACTTTCGACAGTAATCTTTTATGTCAGTTATTTATTCATGTAAAGAGAAAGAGAACATGTGATTATATAAATGAATGAACTCTTACATGCGTCAAACTATCGGTTAATATTCTCTATTTTCCTTTGTCTATTGCTAGTCATTGATCCATCTCCTCCACCCTACGATTTTGGTGCATTAAAACAAAAAATTCCACATTCAGAATCATATCCTCCGGGTGTTAATAACAATAGTATTGCTGTCAATCAACCACTGATATCAAAAGACGTCTTCACTAACGCGCCATTCAAAGTGAAAAGCATGTCAAAGCAAGCTCCACAGTCTCAACATTCAACGACGTTGAATAAGACAAATGCGATATCTCCTTCATCGTCGCATTCAACTTCATCCTCGAATTCTCAACTAATTGATTTGACTGCGCCGACACAGCCAATTCCGGATTTGACAATCAAAGATCAATCTCGACCGTCACCTTTACGTCGACCAGTTGGCTCGGCTGGCTTAGCGAAACATTTCAGTACATTTGGAGCAATGAATCCTACAAACGATCGATATTCGTTTCATTCAGAACGTGTCAACACTGATGGACAATCGTCAAGCGATGAATTTACTTCGTCCACGTCGTCGCGAAAACGTTCAAACAAAAAGAAATCTTCCATATCGACGGGAAATGATTCTCAGCATGCCTATGCAAACCTTTCATTCAATGATGCTATTGTCGATGAATTACTATGATTCAATTTAATGTTCCTTTTTTCCGGTGACTTATCAATTCTTTCACCTTGATTTGGTTGTCTCTGTGAGCGTTCCGCCATTCCACACATCCTCTTTCTTCTCTTTTCGATAGATTATTCCATATAAATGTTCTCTTTTCTTTGTTCGTGCATATGTTTATGTGTATAGAAAGCAAATTTCGTCTGCGTTTTTCATTCTCTTGCTCTTTTTTTTCCACATTTTCTGTACACGATTCGACGATATATCTATTTATTCTTTTATGATCTCTAATAAAAGTCAAACCTAACTAAACAATGCAATACATCTGAAAGAACTCTGTTTTTAACTTTAGAGACCTTGCTCAATGAGAATCTATCTCAAACCAACGGTCATACTTGTTGTTGTTCTTGGTGTCGTATGTCTACTCTGGACAGGCACATGGATTTGGTGGCGACGACACGTATGAAGAACTTCCTTATCTCGAATCAACCGAATTTGATTGAGTTGTTTGCTCTTCTTGGCGTATTTAGAGGCAACCTGTAACTAGTTTTACGTATCCAACGCCAAAGTCTAATTTGAATGACTTGGAACAAGCGATTCTTATGGATAATCGATTCGTGTCGACTTGCCAACATTTTGCCCAAGGCAAACAATTACTTGTTGTTGATAGTAAAGGTAGAATTTCAGTTTAATATTGACTTAGATCGTGTATGCTGTCAGGTAGAAAGAAGAGAAAAAAATTACCAATGAAAGTTGAACACTTAGCAAAAATTTGTTGAATATTTAATATTCTCCATGGAGAGAAGTAGAAACAATTGAAGTTTTCATCTCTAGGAAATGTTTTTCATCAACGAGAAAACAACAAGCACTTATTGATATTCATTTTCAGGATATCTGTGCCAACGACGACATTTAGACAAAACCAACGGCTGTTGTCAAACAATATCATCCTCCATTCTCGGTCCATATATCTGTGATAATTGTACATTGTCAACGTATTGTTGTAATTCGTTTGAACATTGTGTATCTTGTTGTCTCAAACCTGAGCATGTATGACGAGATGTTTACTATTTCGCTAAACTAATTCTGAATATTTGCAGCGGATTCATCTTCAACATTATATTCGTTCACGTGATTTAAAGACCAAATTACTCCTGTCACATTTATCAACACCATTTGATGTATGTTTATCACGTTGTCGAACACATAGTCACAGTGTTATTCATGAAAACGTCTATGTCGACGTGACACATAAATACTGCTTTGCGTCACGCTCAACTCAATAGTAATAAAAACTATGATTGATTCGGATTGTACCAACGAGGAAGAAAAGCAAATAAAAAGAATTTCAAGGTATTTGCCATTTCAAATCCAATGGCTCGACTCATGTTATCAACAAACATGTCTACCGGATAGTCCATGGCATCGAGTAAAAGATTAGTCTGATGGAATTAGTGGTGAAAAATGTTATCTTTAGATTCTTGATGAACTCGAACCAGCGCTATCAAACAGAGTGCGACAACAGTTCAATAATCCTCAACGTCGACAAATGCTTATAGAATTGCTTGGTGCACAGTATCAAAAGAAGTTCTTCGGAACTGAACTAGACAATACCTCGATCTTAGTTTGTTGATGTTCAACACAAGTAGAAGCAATAAGTGTTTCAAATGCTTTTTAGAATGTTCCTGATATGACTAAAGAACAACGACGTATACTTGAAAATGAAGCCAAATCATGGTTACAGATACAAACTTTGAAAGCAGCATCTGAGATCGGCGCTGGTTAGTTGAAGTCTAGTTTTTCTTAGATCTTTCATAGATTTCTTTTTGAATTTAGCAAAGAAAGACAGTGACGAGTAAGTCTGACCGGAAATTAAACGAACAAAAAATCAATTGAAGTTCGTAGAACTACTCGATCGTCTGCTGAGATGGCAGACTTCCTCGAATATACAAATCAAGTTGTTTGGAAAGGGCTCGAACGTTATCTGTATCAAGTACAGCAGAAAGAATTTCAAGAACGCGAGACACAAAAGTTACACGAAATGAACAAACTCAAACGTTATAGTGAATTAACAGGTGGTTCAAAACTTCGATTCATATTACGCGATTCAAAAACCAATTCAGGAAAACTACCAATGATCTATGGTTCGTTCGATTTGAAATGTCACAGATCAGGCTTAAACTACTATACTTTCAGAATCGTCATCGACTACTCATCCAATGACTTCGCAGTACAGTAACTTAATATCCGAATCAATCATAGCATTACTCAAGCAAGATCTACGTCGCATAACATTTCTGAAAGAGAAATTATTTGGACAACAATTACCGGTTGCACTTCGACAAATCAGTTGGACGGAATGTTTATTCCGATTTGAAAAGAAACCACATGAATCTGATCTTGTTCGTTTATTTGCTTATCATAATTGAAGTCATCATTGTTTTCTCCATTGTAGAGTTTTGTTGAGTTGAAGACAAGACGAGATTTCGCAAGTGGCATCACACGCGGAAAAAACGAACTTAAACTTTCGAATCCATTAAATACTCCAATGAAAAATGTCATTGAAAACGATGTTATCGAAGTATATTCTCATGAGAAAATATATTAATGAATAAATCACTCAATTTTCTAGACGTATGGTAAAATTCGTACACTTCAGCCGTATCTTGAAGAGTATCATTTACGATTTACCATGAAAATCTTGAATGTTCTATACACGTACAAAAAATCCTATGAAATTTATTATATTTATTGGTTATTACCATTTCAGCTAACTTATTGTGATGAAGACAATAAAGGTATTGATTCGATATGCGGCAAGCTCACTTTACAAATCGAATCGTTCATTTAGATGAAGAGATTTATGTGATCGGTATGCACTTGGACTTATTCATTCGACATTGCTTTCCGACATGGCCAAAAATCTATACCATTGCAAGTAACATTATCAGTGACATGTCTATTGATGATTCAGGATTTTACAATCATTTGAAAAAGATATCAAGACTGAATGCAAAAATCAACGCCAAAGTATGGACGATGTTTCCTTAAGCCAGGGAGGGAAAAAGCTTGTTTTTGTCTAGGATTTTCCGATGGAAATTCTTTCGTTAAATGATAAACAAACGACGAGGAGGAAAGTTTATGACCAGGAACTAATGACCGATCCTGTTATTTTTCTTCGAAAGTGGATCTGTGAAGTGAGTGATTGTTCTTCTACTACTTATTTCAACAAGTTCCTTTTGCTTAATTAGATGTTCGTGGGAATTCTTAATTCGAATAGCGTGCTCTACTTATGGGATCAGTTTTTCATGGTCAAATGGGAGTTGAACTACATTGAACATGCATGTCGAGCGATATTGTATCTCCTACGTGATAACTTTATGTGTGCTGAAAATTATGAAGAAATGCGGAAAGTTTTTCTCGATGAGCCATGCTTATTGTATACATCGGACATTCAGACAGCGTTTGTGCATCTGGCGTTGAAACAGGATGATCCAAAATACATTCCGGCAATGAATCAACATATACGACCGATGAAATCGCTGGACAATATTGAAATTCGATCTAATAAACAAAAGATTTACTTGGAATCTGTTGGTATAGAACATATTTCATTGATCCTGATCACGCCATTTGTATGCAATTTGAATTTGATCGAGAACTTATCAATGAATTTTTCAATTAGACGAAGGATCCTCGACGAGAAGTTCACTGTAAATCAATCACTGTTCAGATAGAAGTATATGGTGGTGGAGAAAAACTAGGATCGATTACGACAAGATCACCTCCCAAAATCCGTAAGTAAATTGATTCTGATTAATTCGAGATTTATTATGTGCAATTCCCAGGAAAACGCGAACAGTATAAACCTAGCTGGGAAAGACTATTCATTGACATGACAAATGAGAAATTAATTCTACCAGCTCAGCAAACCCGTCAGTCACTGGTACCGATTCGAATTCAAGCGCTGATCACTATTTATGAACAAATAGATCGTAAGAATAACTTCCTCTTTTCTTCGAAACCATCATTTCATCTACTTAGCTTATACAAAACCAATCCTTGGTCACTGTCGGTTTCCACTATATATCCCACAAAAAATTGGCAATCTCGATACATGGGATGTAACCTGTGGACCAGTTCATCGTGCTCTACACGCCGGTTTACCTCCACCTTCTATCGATATGATACCCGACACTCCGAAAACATCCGCTTCAGGTATGAAAGAAAACATAACTTAAAAATCTCTCGTTAGCAATGGAATCTAAAACTAAATCAATAAGATCATTGACATATGAAAGTCTTCTTTCTTCTCGAATAGATCCTGACTTGATAACAACAACAAACCTTGGCACAAAGAGAAGAAAACTCTTTCTGATTAAACATTTTGCTTTGACACTGATTTGAATCTCTCTTAGTCTTCTTAGCTTACACTTTACTAACAGTTGTGTAATGTTAGTCTATTACTTTTACCTACTTTGCTTGGCAAACTAAATGCATCAGTCTGTGATTAAAAAGAAAGAAGTAAATCTCCATCGAGCATATGCTCAACAAAAAACGCGTTTTCCGTTTAGTTGATTCTCTCTTAGTTAGCGAATTCATTACGCGCATCATCATTTTTCTGTGTGACTATTTGCGAAACTAAACTCGGTTCTTTTATAGATAGAATTGGTTCGGGTTCCACAATTTCTCTGATGATTTTCGATCCAAAATCTCAGCAACATTGTAAGCTCATCATTGTCACACACTAAAAGATCATTTTCAATCATTTCTGTTTAGAATTTAGTCCGTCTGCAATTGTCGATAAGAAAAAAATGTCAAATATTTCTCTACTTAAATTGTTTCTCTTAATTCGAATTTTATTCTGGTATTTCGGCTTATTAATCTGTGCTTCAACACGTACGTTATTTGTCGTTCAAACATGGTCAAAGCCTTTAGCATTTGTGATACTATTTAATCTAAGTTTTTCATTCGTAAATCTTTTTCTTTCAAATTCTCCTCAATCCAACCGAAAATTGACATACGCTCTAGTCAGTTGCTTCTTTTTATGCTTGATTATTTCATTTATTACCTACGCTTCTTACATGATATACGTACAATATAATGTGATGAATTTGTTAACATTGAACATTATGAAAAACGATCGAAATCAAAGTTTATTATCGATTTGTTTGAACACGTATCAATGCTGTCGTATTCAAGATGAAATTCTGTTCGATTCAGTGAACGAACGGGAGTATTTTCTCGCGTTTCCATATTGTCAAAAGGCAATTGAAGAGAACGAAATGAGAAAGGATCAGTGGGATAAGATCACAACTTGTGGAACTCTTTTTCGATCGATTATATTTTATCTTCGATGCTTTTTTGTCTTCGATCTACTTTTCAATCTTTTTCTTCTGATTTGCGCTTTACAATATTTCTTTCGACATCTGTATGACTCGATTGAAAAACATCCGCATACGACAATCCCCACCGAGAGTCTTAATTATAAACTCAAATAAAAAGAAAAACACTCATCAATTAGAAAGTATGAGAAAAATTACACGGTTTACTTTTAATCTCGATGATGAAAAATAATAACCAATCATCGATATGACAATCATGATTGATACGCTATCCACCTCCAACTGCAATCTTCCACATTCGAACGAATCTCTTTCCAATTGACAACTGAGTTAGATTATATAATTCATCGGAAATCAATCATCGGTGAATGTCAAGTGCAAATATGCACAGCAATGTTGAAAAAGAAAAAGAAGAATTCTCATATTAATTGTTTCATGATCAACTGAAGACAAGTTTCTTGTTTGAAATGATCTATTACTTGAGACAATGCTTCAAACTTTCGAATGTAAATAATTAAACAGTGAGATCAAAGACAGTCAAAGTCATTCATCGGTATATTAACACCATTGACTGGTTCACACTCTCTTATCAAACATTGATACTCAAAGAGAGAGAAAGAGAAAATCATCCAACGCACGTTGATTTCTTTTTCGTTTCATTTATTCAAAATCTTTCCGTTGACAAGTAATTCGATGATTTATTTATGAAAAAACAAAGCTTAAACATGTATGATTTTATTTAAGGTGACAAAAAGTTAATTCTCATCGATTTCATTGTATATATCCCTATATATATAAAGTGATTATTTTCTACACAAATCTTATTCGCTATTAATCGTACACGACATACTAGCATTCGTTTGATTCGTGCTCGATTAGAACTGTCGTTTAATATATATATATATATTTATATTATATGTATGCACACGCATATATTCATCGAAAGAAAGGAGAAAACATAATCATCATCATCATCATTGATATGTACGATACGAGAAGAGGCGTATAATTTTTACCTTTCGTTCTTTCCTTTTCTCAATACACTTGTGTCGATATAACGAATGTTTGTTAACATGCACGGGTAACTTAAATCCGATTAGAAGTTCAATTGTTCTTTCTGTCTTTCATAAAGGCAATGATCGACAGGTGAAGAGAGAAAACGCGAAATCGGTTTGTTATTTTGCATGCCTTGTGCATAGAAACATGGAGGAAGGCCACTTGCCATATCGATCGGTTGATTTCCCCAGACGCGACAAGTAACAGACTGGAGTTTCTCGTTCGTGTGTTGTCTTTCTACTGGTAGTGTCTACATTGAAGTTAGGAGAAAACGAGATGCAATCTTTGCAATTGCTGCCGGCGATCTACCAAACGATTGATCGATGATAAGCAGCCTCTAATGTATAGAGTCTTTCAATATCATTTACTTTTTTTTGTTGCCTTGTATCAAATGGTTTCTTTTTCGTATGCATACATATAA